CTCTTCCTAACTGATACCATCATTACTTAATCACAGTTGTATGTATGTTCAATCGAGTTTCATTCTTATTCTAGGCATAAGCCTCTTTTTTCCATTTCGGAAATCATTAAAACACTTAACTCAATACAATTAGGTCTATGTGCATTTATGTAACAGTGATGAGTAATTCAAATAGCCTCTCAATCAATGAACAAAAATAACTGATTATTGAATCACTCCTCTGATCCTTTCCATAGTTATAAACACACACACACAAAAAAAAACTTTCAAAGCTGACATTCCATCATGGGTTATAAAAGCTGACAAACCTGTATGATAATAAAAGTAAACAAATGATATTCTAAGCGAAGATGGATAGTGGCTAGTAGTGGAATCCAATTTGATGCGTGTTTCGTCTTGTTTGAGACTTGTCAGCTGGATATATCTTCATCTCAGAGTTAATGTTCAATCCGGAGGACTCGAACTCAGTACTGTTCACTTCAAACGCGTGTTCTGGATTCCACTACTATCCACTATCCATCTTTGTTTAGAATGCTTGTGTGAATTAAGGCAATAACGAGGCAATGCGCACAGTATGCACATATGTCAATAACAGACTGATCAATTACAGTGTTAAACATCAATGCGAAGATTCAAGAAAAAAAAAACCAAATAAATTTAAACAAACGATATCTTTTCAAAACTGAGTTTAATAGCTTCCGGTTTTGTTTTGTTTTCTGAGCACTCATATCAGTTTTCTTTTCCCATACCTCATGATGATATTAATCCAGTAGGTTCCTCTTAGCTGTAGATCATTACTTTACAACAGAGTGTTGTTTACAAAGTTGAGGGGACGAAAATTGAATGTCCGGCGCTTTAAACGGGTTGGTTGACACTAAGGTTTCACTTAGGGGAGTTTGAAAACCCAGACTCCAAACCATTGGTGCACATGTGCTCTACGATCCTGAGTGAACAAATAGCATATTAACCAATTGTTGATCATCGACTACCATGAGACTGCATCCTCTTACCTTGCTCTACTGCCTTATGGATCAGACCTTAAGGTTGAAGGCTCTGGTTGTGGTCCCCTAAGAAAACCACATGCTTCGGTTTTGGCAGTATCACAACCCACACACAATGCAAGTGACTTGTGTGACGAGTATTTATGTGATGCCTCTTTTTACCAATATTTATGTATTCAAATAAATAAAACATGGAAACACTGATGTACATAACGATATGTTATGCATAAAGCTGACACTTAGAAAACAATGCCTACCAGTTTATTAATAAAGCACTTTACCTAGGTTATTTAGTAGGTAGAGTAGTGAATGATTTCAACTTTATTAAAGAATGTTACACAACAGTCTGCTTTGACAGATATTCCACTAAATAGACGTATTACTCCACCGTCATTTAAGAACCTGTTACTAGTTTACCTAAATGATCTAAACAACTATGAGTTATTTTAACCACTTCTGTACTTAGTATACCCGATTATTGAATCAGAGGAATACGAATAAACAAGCGTGTAATTTAGTAGTTGAATTCATGATTCAATTAAAGCTAGACCACAATGGCAACCTGGAAGCACTGTTTCGTCCTAGCGTGGGACTCCTCAACAGTATGCACTCACGATCCCGTCTTGTGAGGTTCGAACCCAGGACCTATAAGTCAAGTGCGCGAACGCTTAAACTCTAGACCACTGAGATGGCCAGTATCCAATGGTGTTAATATCTAACTTCAATCAATCCACGAACAAGTATGTAATAAAGGAAAACAATCCTGTATGATAAATATTATGACTGAATGTGATAAGATTCACTTCCTTTAGTAAATTGTTGTCTTATTTTGGTATTCCAAATATCAATCGACAACAACAACACCACCACCAACAACAACAAAAATCCATAATATTCACTAGATTACCTATTTTTCATTAATTATTTGTATTCTATAAACCATTACATTGTTGGGCTGACAAATAAACTAAGTGCGGTCATACCTAGAATATTCCAAGGTTGTTCTCCAATAATCGTATAATTGGAATAGAATTAGAATAGTATTGAAATATCATTGTTTATCCCCAGGTACACAAATAGTGATACTCGAGACCTTAAAATGATATTATCCCCTTTTACTTTATTTTGCTTACTTTCATTCAGAAATGACCATATATGGCAATTTGATAAAGTATTTTTTCTTCTAAAAGATATAACCTTAGTTACAAGTATTAAACACACTACGTAACAAAGGAATGTGCTAATGTCAGAACAGTATGAATATGTACCCTCTTCTTGTATCTATGCCTATACATATACATATACACACACACACACCAAAGGTAATTATAAAAGAAAGTAATGTTATGTGGTATGTGTGCAGAACTGGAAACGTAAATCATCCTACCCAACATATGTCTATCCTTCTATTCCTATGTTTACTTACCTGTTACCTAACAAAAGATTTGTTTCCAATTCAATGGACAGCACAATGTATGTATACTTAACATTTCCATGAGAAAGAAAAACATGTGTAACTTGGAATGACAATCGATAAAATAAAAAGTCCCATCCCATTTTTTTTTTATAAACTTATCGGTTGAAAATATCAAAGTAGTGTAGATTTTAGTAGTTGAATTCATGAATCAATTGAAGATAGACAACCATGAAAAACCTGAGAGCTCTGAACGGCTATTTTATTCTAGTATGGGACTCCTCAGCAGTATATATCTACGATCACGCCTCGCAAGATTCGAAATCAGTCTCTTGTGAACGATTAATCTTTAGACCACTGAGTCAGTATCCAATGAACGAAGCGACCGTCCAGTGTTTCCAGGTTTTCCATCATAGTCTAGCTTCAATTGACTTATGAATTCAACTATCAAATTACTATAATATCCACAAAACCTGCTCTCTCAATCGGTTAGCTACTATTATTATCCCAATCTCTATGGTAAAAACAATGTTCAGTTTCATTATAACTCCATAAACTAGAAAACTTGTGTCACGGGTTGTGAAATCCATAAAGTTGAAAACTCATGTCCACCTATAACATTAAGTGATAATTGTGTTACATTGATAAGTGATTTGAACTGAAAGAGTTGAATCGTTTAATTTCGGTTTGTTGGCAAAATATTATCATACGCCATCTAATGTTGCACTAATAAGCTTTTAATTCTATTTAACAACATTGGTACGCAATAGTGAACTGAGGTGCAACGATTGTTCACTATATTCACGTTTACCAACTATTTAATTGATGATACTATACTACAAAATGATTTAAGTTAAACAACCACCTTTAGCCATGAAAAACTGGATAGCCGTTTTGTTGTAGTATGAGACTTCTCAGCAATTCAATCTCTGGTGGCAAGGACATGATCGGTCACTAATATGAAGTTCCATATATGGGCTAAGGCTGACCATTGCTGCATCTGCAGCCTAGCAGCGCATTGGGTTTGCGCGTCAATTTCTTAATCTGTGGTCGTGAGTTCGAGTTTCATCTGGGGCAGGTTTTTTGGAGCCTCCAAATTCTCTGGTACGGCCGAGGGTTAGCTCTCCCTCTTAAAATGCTCTAACATGGTCACGCGTATACAACTACTACCAGGGAAGTCTTACTCACTACCTTCCCGCCACGGGGTACTGTTTACGAAATTGAGAGGACGAAGAGCGAATGTTCGGCGCTTTAACCGGGACAGTGGTGGATGGTCTAAGGTTTCACCAATAATCTTCTATCTTTATGTAGTTCAGTACTCAATTCACAAATATTTCTATGAATCAAGTTGAAGAGCAAGTTAAACAGTAGAGTAAATGTCAAACAACATCAAAGAATTTAATAAATAGCACATCTTATTCTATTAGAATTAGTTTAAATTACGTTATTCGTTATAAGAAAAGAATAAATGAATAGATATTTAAGCTTTTCATTCCTATTTAAGCAAATATGGATAGTGGTTAGCAGTGGAATCCAGTTTAAAGCCCGTTTCGTCCTATTCGGGACACGTCAGCTAGATGTATCTTCATACCTGAGTTGATGTTCATTCTCGGACTCGAACCCAGTACTATTCGCTTCAAACGACATCTCATTCTTCACTTAGCTACTGAATCCTAATAGTCATTTGCTTGTTTCATGTTAATATCAATCTATAATATTTTCAAAAGTTTCAATCACTTTTTTGATAGAGTTTGGTCAGTTCAAAGAAATAAAACTTCATGAATGTTATCTATTTAAACTATAAATCTTCTCCATCATTTAAAACATTCAAATACCCTTGTACAGTATATTTTTTTCTTTTTCTTCTATTCTCATATTTACTAATAAAAAAATTGTCTACTTTTTATTCAGATGATAACTGAGAATGTGGTAAGATTAGTTAGTGATTAGTTTACTACTTATTACCAACCCCCCCCTCTCTATATATAGATATTTTATTAGATAATTAGTAGTATTGAGTGTATATTTACATTTTTGTTCTCTATTAGGTTGTTTAACAATGTTATATTATCAGAGTTGTTCTCATAATTGTCACTACTATCAACACCTACATGTCATATAATTTATACTCAAACTTATTCCCAGATACATCAGTATAGAAGATAAACATTGTCATGGTAACTATTTACCCAATTAGTTAGTTTGTTTTTTCTTCTTATGTTGTTTCCAGCATAAGTACTTGTTCTTTCATCATAACGTTTATAAAAATGAATATAAGAACCATTAAGCTTAAGTTAAGGACTTCATTAAAGATCTTGACGACCATTGAAATCTATCAGGTGGTTATAGTTACTTGGTAAAACACATAGTCAGTCAGTCAGTAACAACGTAGAACTTTGTACGTACGCACATCAATTCAAGTAGCCCTACCACATTAGCACAGAGATACAATTATCGATTCAAATCCCATAGTGGTAGAGGTAGTAAAAGCATAAGCAATAATCGGAAAGATTAGAGTCTGATGTTATTCAAGGAGTATAATCCAGTGAAATAAATTTGGAAGGAGAAAAAAAGGGATATGCAGAATTCAGAAGATTAGGATTTGAGAGAACACAAAGAGTGGATGCACCTGCGCCAACGCAAACGAATTTAAGCCATATCATTCAAGGTCTCTAACCATCAGTTGCTATCGTCTTGCGGATTCCAATCAGGTAGTCTATATCTGCCAACATGACTCACTCCACTTATCAGTGACTTCATCGACCTAGACTCTATGGTTTTTGATGCTCGTTAGTAAAGAATACCTGGAATCTTGGAAAAATTGATGCTCACTATAGGATTAAAGCTCGTATAGATCAACTTTACAGTTTGAAACATTACCGCTGAGCTACTAGTATTGCTATTGAATAGTGATTAGTCAATATAAATTGAAGACTGTATACCACAATATAATAGTTGAGAACTTAATAGTTGATATGAAGACCTCTATATGTTGACTAAAAGATTACTCCCATGTATATGATATTTAATGATGTGTTTAGTTCTAAGGACTGTTTTGATGTACAAATTTTCCACGACTTCAACAATCAACTTACTTGATTTGGAAAACTTCAAACTTAGATTTCGTCGCTTTTGACAAGATTAGTGTAAGGACAGTTCATAAGTGAACTTGAGGAAGCCTTAAGAAGTTCAGAAAGAGTCAAAGATATTCCATCCAATCATCTTTTTCGGAAGAATATTCCAGAATCTATATGTGGAACTTCCCTATTTGACAAATGCTAATCCCCCCCCCTGTATACCATAATTGACACCGTTCGAGTGCTCATTTTATGCTCCGGTATATTAAGTATCTAAACTCTAGATAAAACCATTAGATTTCAACTACATCATACAGGGGATGATTTCCCTTATTTGTTTTCTTAGATTTATTTTAAACCTGTAGTAGTTATGGAATAACTATTTGACATCAAGTGATTAACATTGAATAATAATTTTTTCTATTTTATAACAGCAAGAATTATTAAAACGTCGTGAAATGGAAATTAATAAACTACGTAAAGATTTAGAAAATGCTAATGCATCACTTGAATTAGCTGAAACATCAATGAGACGTCGACATCAAACAGCATTGAATGAATTAGCATTAGAAGTTGAAAATTTACAAAAACAAAAAGGAAAGTAAGTTATCTTGTTTGAATACTTATTTTTTTATTATCAGAATGGGTTTCGTGGAGAATTTTAGAAATTTCACAGGTTGAAATCATGAGTCAGTTGAAGCTAGACCACCATTGAAAACCTGGAAGCACTGGACGGCCGTTTCGTCCTGGTATGGGACTCCTCGTGGTTAAGTGCTCGCGCGCGAAGCCAGTAGGTCCTGGGTTCGAGCCCCGCGTGGTGCGGGATCGTGGATGCGCACTGCTGAGGAGTCCCATACCAGGACGAAACGGCCGTCTAGTGCTTTCAGGTTTTCAATGGTGGTCTAGCTTCAACTGATTCATGATTTCAACTTATTTTTTTCTTTTTGGAAATAAAAGACATAATATTGTACAGATTATGTTTTAAGACATAGAAAAGTCAGTCAGCTAAGACGTAGGACCAGGCACATATATCCATCGGTTCAAGTTGCCACACCTCACTCATTAGCACAACAAGATGAACATCGAATTCATAGAAATAGTTAGTTCAGTGGTGGTAATATATAAAAGAATGATTTTGCGTATGAGGATGTAGTAATAATTAGTTCATAGAAAGAAAGATATGAAGCGATTTCAATCTCATAGTTTAAGGGAAGATAGAGAGTTTATACACCTACACCATTGTGATCGATTCTCAACCATGCCACCCACAGTCTACAATCATTGGTTACGATAGTCACGCGGACCCCAGCACTAGTCAGCATTGCGCGTTGTGGTAATCGGTGTTCAGGTATACGCAACACATGGCCCAACCATCTCAGTCGATGAGGATTCACAAACTCATTAACTGATTTACCATCATTCCCTATTACCCTGCGTCTAACCTCACTATTACTTACCCGATGATCCCAGCAGATGCCAGCAATATTTCTAAGTCATCTGTGGTCAAATACTAGTAGCTTACAAGTGTCTTCAACTCTTAATGGCCATGTTTCGCAGCCGTAAAGCAGAACAGAACGAACTGCCGCTCAGTATACTCGTCCTTTTATTGATAGACGGATATCTCGCCATCACCATGTGTGACGTAAGTTGGCAAAAGCGAAATGAGCTTTTCGAATCCATGCTGAGATTTCTTCATACACCAACCCATTAGGGCTGATCATAATTCCAAGATAAGTGAAGTCATCAATGCGTTCGACTACTTCACTCCCTATCCTTAGTTCAGGTGTTGACGCAGACCAGTCCTGATGCAGCGACTTGCATTTTGAGGGGGAGAAACGCATTCCAAACGTTCTGGCATTATTGCTCAATGCTACTAAAAGACTCTGCATTTTAACAGAGTCTTCACTAAACAAAATAATATCATTTGGCACAGAAAAGTACCACAAATGAATCTAATTGCAGAATGAAAGATTGAGTAATCTGCAAATATTCTGGCAAAGCGGAAATAAATAAAGAAGACTGAAACGTTTTTCCAGTCATTTTGTTAGTAACTGTAATAGAATAGGGAATGTTACCTACTGGGGTCAAGAATAACACCAACTAGAGATATCAGATGTTAATAAAATATTAACCACTACTGAATTTGTGGTTTTCGAAGTATTAATAGGATATAATGTTATAGATAAACAAGTAATTCCAAGAGCTAAATAGTAATCAAGTAGTTATGATTGAATTATAACTGAGGATGAAGGACATCACAGATGTTTTATATCTAAATTAGAATTAAGAGCATAACAATGTACAAAGTAAACATCTTGAAGATTATTCTGGTTACAGGGTTTCTGATTTATATTACCTATACACCAGTCCAATTAGTACTGTAGATAATCTTAAATGGAATTTTCAGTAGGTTTAAATGATCAGAACTGAAATAATCTTTAGTAATAAACCTTCTGTTTGTTTCCTAATCATCATTTGATAGTCATATAAAGATACAGAAAGATTACATTTCACACGATCAATACATCTTAGTCTGCAAGAGCAAGAAAAGCAAATAATACACATTGAAGCCGTCTATTCTATTAGCTTTTAACTAGAAAAGACTATTTGTAGGTCAAATAGAAAAAAGATCCCTTTCAGAGATTTTGATTTTCGCTTTTTTCCACTTTTCATAAAAATAGGCAATGATACAGGGACTATGGTAAGCAAAATGATAAAGAGAAGTTTTTGATTGAGATCATGAAACCACCATTGAAAACCTGGAAGCACTGGATTGATTGGGATTAGACATTAACATCATTGGATGCTGACTCAGTGGTCTAGAGGTTAAACGAACACCCTGGATTAGTATGCATACGTTAATACTAAAGTGAAGTATGTCTTCGATAAAATGAATTCAACTCCTTTGTAAACTGATTCTGAACAGCATAGTGCATATGTGTTAGTTTAATAGTCATATACCGACAAATAGTGTTGTAAAATAGCATAGTTAGTATACAAATCTAAAGCTTTAGTTAAGAATGAAAACTATTTGATCTGATTTGGGATTTTATGTTTAACAGACATCAAATATTTGTACGACAGTGTACAATTTCACTCAAAATAAGATAATTTTACATGGTATTGTCTACTTGTATCTTCTCATTGTTGTTTAAGACTGAAATTGATCAGTTTCTTGTTGGTATATATGCATACTGTGAGGACTGCCTTGATATTGCCTCAAGTCACAAGCATTATAAGCAAAGATGGATAGTGGCTAGCAGTGGGATCCAGTTTGATGCGCCTTTCATCCTATAATAATGGGACGATACAAGTAAACAGCACCAAATGAATTTAATTTCACCCCACCACACAAGCACGTGGCTATCAGGACTCTATCAAAAAAGTGATTGAAACTTTTGAAAATATTATAGGTTGATATTAACATGAAACAAGCAAGTGACTATTAGGATTCAGTAGCTAAGTGAAGAACGCGATGTCGTTTGAAGCGAATATTACTGGATTCGAGTCCAAGAGTGAACATCAACTCAGGGATGCGGATACATCTAGCTGACGAGTCCCGAATAGGACGAAACGGGCTTCAAACTAGATTCCACCGCTAACCACTATCCATCTTTGCTTATAAGATCATTTTATTTTATTGTTTTATTTGACCTTATTCGACAATTTTCTGTATTTAATGGAGCATCCAACTCATAGCAAACTTTTTCTTTACTTTATATAGAGCTGAAAAGGACAAAAGTCACTTGATCATGGAAGTGGATAATGTTCTAGGACAATTAGATGGTGCACTAAAAGCTAAGGTGAATAAAATGATATGAAATATAATTGGTATTAACTGATTTAGTGGCCCGAGATCTGACTCCAATCAGATCGTATAAATTATTGTCAAAATATACGTCCTGGCTATTCTCGTATATATTTATCGACTTGAATTGCGTTAGGGAATAACGGAATTAAATAAATTAAATACGAGAATGCATTTTCGATTACACACATGTTGTGCACTCATTGGTTTGGACAAGCATTCAGAGAGATGAAGCGGAGAAAAGAGAGTGATGCGAAACGACATGCAGTGGAGAAGGCGTGTCAGCTAACTCTATCTTATCAATCATTAATCAATATTTATAGCCAAAAAAAATAGGTTACAGACAATATGGTGAGTAGGACAAGATGTGCACACACATACGCTCATCTAAAACCAGTCGAGGTAAATAAGTGATTAATTAACGAGGTCAAAATGTGACTCAAGTAGAATGAATAGATTGGCCTATCCAGAAGCTAGAATAAGGTGTATGGGCCTAACATAGTAACAGACACTAGATTGGATACTATGTTATAAATAAATTGTTTACAATGGAAATGACCTATATTCGTAACATCTTAGTGTAGAAAACATAGATTTCTAAATTAGCGACTTACGTCAGCTCACAAGTCACCAGAAAATTATCTTTGTACTCATTGATATATTACTGTGAGGACGGCCCATAGATGAACTCAAAGGAAGCTCCAAGAAACTTGAAGGGTTCTAACGTTTGAATATTCTAGTTGTACGCAATATTATTAAGAATCTATGCTCTAGATATAACAATTACAAGTACACCATTTTGATTGCCAATAAACATAGAGGTCTGTTTGAAAAGAGTCTCTATCTCATTCCCTTTAATTAGATACTTTCAAACTAAGTATACTCGATGTGTACATTATGGTCGTAGATTGTTGGTCACTTGTAAAGTTTCAGAGAATACATCCTCAAGTATGAATATTAAAAGTAGTTTAAGCCATTAAAATATGCTCTCCATAATATAAGAGATGCATACCAACTAGGTTTCTTACTGAATCCAATTAACAAAAAGAATTCGGTTACTTGGAAGGCATGACAATATAACACTTGATACATCCTGATAATTAGGTACTGTACAATGGTATTTAAATGGAAGTATCTATGATATATCTTTTTAAAATGAAAGAATTTGAAAAGACAGTGTATTATATGTTGAAGGCTAGTAATCGTATTTATCGATAAACAATCAGAAGATATCTCCGGTTTGGATACTCCTACTACGGTTTGAGTACTTCTGCTTCAGTTTGAACACCCCCGTTTCAGTTCAGGCACTCGAATTTATTCTAAACATGTGTGTTATTGAAGAACCTTGAAGTTATAACCATCTATGAAGTTTTATTCTGTTTCTTTTTTTTACTTTTTAACTTTTCTAGCAATCAGCTGAATCAAAATTAGAAGGATTGGATAGTCAATTAAATCGTTTAAAATCATTAACAGATGATTTACAAAGACAATTAACTGAATTAAATAATGCAAAATCAAGATTAACATCAGAAAATTTTGAATTATTACATATTAATCAAGATTATGAAGCACAAATTTTAAATTATTCTAAAGCAAAATCATCTCTTGAAAGTCAAGTAGATGATTTAAAACGATCTTTAGATGATGAAGCTAAAGTAAATCCAATTTTTTTTTAAATATTGATTTATTCGTTTAAAGAATTTCAACTATTCACTTATAGATCATGAATATCATCTTGAAGTTTTCGATTGTTTCAATGAAACTACAATTTATAGACGAACCAATCAGATTAAGGATAGCAGGTTTCGAAAGCGAGACTATAATTTGTGGATGAACCAATCAGATTAAGGATAGAAGGTTTTGGAAGCGAGACTATCATTTGTGGACGAACCAATCAGATTAAGGGTAGCAGGTTTCGAAAGCGAGACTATAATTTGTGGATGAACCAATCAGATTAAGGATAGAAGGTTTTGGAAGCGAGACTATCATTTGTGGACGAACCAATCAGATTTAAGAATAAAAGGTCTCAGATTTTGACGCAATATTCACCCATCCATTTGGTTCAATAGAGTTTTGGCATTATAGTTGATATCGGTTCATGATGAAAAACCGTAAATCTAATTCTTAACCTTAACCATCAACTGTAAATCATAATTCTAATTCCTCACACACTGGTTTATCACCTTCATTTGGTCCTAATTATTAGGTGAACACTCTCAAAGTCCGACTAGCATCGCTTTTAGGTCGTCCATAAATTATAGTCTCACCTACAACTTAAATACAAAGATACATATACTACATTGTACTATACACTCAATAAATTTTATGATTGAGACTTCTGCAAAGATGATAGTGATGTGTTAGGTTATCAATAGTCAATTGGTGCACCCTATCACGTGATATTTTAACCAACCATTGATTTGAAGCATTTCAAGCATGATGAATAAGTTTAGCATTAATGAAATGATAGATTTACTGACTCCTGTCTCATACACACGAACAAATGCAGATGAGAATAACTAGTGCAGCAGCAGCAGCCTCTGCATCAGTAGGCCTCAATATACACAAAGGAAAAAACAAGGTCCCCAAATACAACACCGAGAACACCAACTCACTCACACCTGATGGCGAGATTCTGGAAGATGTTGAATCCTTAACGTCACTGGGATGCATCATCGATGATCAAGACGGATCTGATACAGACGTAAAGGTGAGGATTAGCAAAGCAAGGGCCACATTCCTACAATTGAAGAAAATATGGGACTCAAAACAACTTTCAACCAATATCAAAGTCAGAATCTTAAATGCGAACGTGAAGACAGTTAGTTATATTGTAGGGAGCTGAAACGTGGATAACTGCCATAACCATCATCAAGCAGATACAAGTATTTATAAATAATTGTCTACATAAGATAATCAATGTCCGTTGACTTGATACCATCAGTAACAGCCTACTGTTGGAGAGAACAAACCAGCTTTCAGCCGAAGAGGAAAATAGGGAAAGACGTTGTAAGTGGATAGGTCATACATTGCGCAAATCATCAGACTGCATCACAAGGCAATCTCTAACTTGAAATTCTGAAGGGAAGCGGAAAAGAGGAAGGTCGCAGAACATATAACGTCGGGAAATAGAGGCAGATATGAAACGGACGAATGACAACTGGAAAGAATTTCCCAGGACAGGATTATATGGAGAGTGCTGGTTGGCGGCGTATGCTCCATCGCGAGGGTTGGTGACAGGCGTAAGTAAGTAAGTAAGTAAGTAAGTAAGTAAGTAAGTAAGTAAGTAAGTAAGTAAGTAAGTAAGTAAGTAAGTAAGTAAGTAAGTAAGTAAGTAAGTAAGTAAGTAAGTAAGTAAGTAAGTAAGTAAGTAAGTAAGTAAGTAAGTAAGTAAGTAAGTAAGTAAGTAAGTAAGTAAGTAAGTAAGTAAGTAAGTAAGTAAGTAAAGTAAGTAAGTAAGTAAGTAAGTAAGTAAGTAAGTAAGTAAGTAAGTAAGTAAGTAAGTAAGTAAGTAAGTAAGTAAGTAAGTAAGTAAGTAAGTAAGTAAGTAAGTAAGTAAGTAAGTAAGTAAGTAAGTAAGTAAGTAAGTAAGTAAGTAAGTAAGTAAGTAAGTAAGTAAGTAAGTAAGTAAGTAAGTAAGTAAGTAAGTAAGTAAGTAAGTAAGTAAGTAAGTAAGTAAGTAAGTAAGTAAGTAAGTAAGTAAGTAAGTAAGTAAGTAAGTAAGTAAGTAAGTAAGTAAGTAAGTAAGTAAGTAAGTAAGTAAGTAAGATTTACTGACTTGATCCACTCTTGTGTTCATAAAGCTAAAACTGTTGATCTATAATGTTAACTAAAATTGCAAGTGTTTTCCAGATGAATCTGTTTGTCGATTATTGGAAAGATGATACAGTACCACGAAGTTGTCAGTTCGAATTCCATATCAACTACTTCTAACTAAACTAAAGATTATTTTCATTATATTTTTCTATTCACCTTTTAGAATCGTTTCAATCTTCAAGCTCAGCTTACATCACTTCAAATGGATTATGATAATTTACAGGCTAAATATGATGAAGAAAGTGAAGAGGCCAGTAATTTGCGTAGTCAAGTATCTAAGTTTAACGCTGATATTGCTGCATTAAAATCTAAGTTTGAACGCGAACTTATGAGTAAAACAGAAGAATTCGAGGAAATGAAGTACGTTAAGTCTTTTAATAATGATGAAATACTTTATGTTGACTTGACTTATTTATTTATTTAACCAAATAGATATGCGCGATATAAATCATTCGACTTGTATGTGGGCTGGGATACTGCTCGGGTGCCCAGACCGAAGCAAGTGGTTTTACTGAGGAGCCGCAATCGGAGTCTTTGACCTGAAGGTCTGATCCACATGGCAGTGGAGCAACGTCAGGAGATGTAGTTCCATAGTAGCCGGTGACCAACATTAGGTTCATATACCATTTTTCCCTTAGAGTCCTGGAGCCCATATACACCATTGGTTTGGAATCAGGGTTATTCAACTCTTCTAGGTGGATGCTCCGTGTCCACCAACTCGATTAAAGCGCCGGACATTCGCTTTTCGTCCTCTCAATTTCGTAAATAACACCTGCGCAACGAGAAGGTAGTGAGTAGGACTTCCCTGGCAGTGATTGTATACGCATGGCCAGTTGACGAGTCCCAATTAGGACGAAACGCGCGTCTTGGATTCCACTGCTAGTCACTATCCATCATTGCTTTAAAATTTTTTTTCGTTTTAGGAGGAAATTAACTATGAGAATAACGGAACTTGAAGATACTGCAGAAAGAGAACGATTAAAAGCGGTATCATTAGAAAAACTTAAAACAAAGTTAACATTGGAAATTAAAGATTTACAGTCTGAAATAGAGAGCGTAAGTTAGTTTTCAGTAAATGATTATTGTATTTGAACTTCTTATGATTTATTAATTGGAATATAACTATCTTAGGATCAAAGACTGACAAATGTAGATTCGAATCACTTTGAAATCAGTAGATCTTAGTGCTGCAAGTATGTTTAAGTAAGAAGTACTAAAAATCATGGAACGTTGGTCAAAACAAGCTGCCCAACAAATTATCTATAACTGTCATAATTATGCAGGCATTTTAAGTTATATTTCAACCTAACTTACTATAGAGTATTTATTCATTTGAACACATAAATATTGGTAGAAAGGTGCACCTGTGATACTGCCCGGATTCCCAAACTGAGACAGGTGATTTTCTTAGGGAGCCACACACGGAGCCTTCGACCTAAAGGTCTGGTCCACATGGCAGTGGAGCAACGTTAAGAGATGCAGTATCATGGTAGCCGGTGACCAACGATTGGTTCATACGCTATTTTTTCTTCAGGATCGTGGAGCTCATGTACACCATTGGTTTGCAATGAGGGTCTTGCAATTCTCCTAGGTAGACTCTCCGTGTCCACCAACCTGGTTAATGCGTTGGACATTCGCTTTTCGTCCTCTCAAATTCGTAAACAACAGTAATGCCACTAGAAGTCAATGGGTAGAACTTCCCTGTCAATGGCTGTATATACTCGTGGCGATGTGAGAGCATTTTGAGAGGAAGAACAAACTCTCTCAACTCCCAGCCGTAACATGGCATTTGGGGGCATCATAGATTTTAACAAGCTCTTTGTTTCATTTGTACGCAGTTTCTTTAATGAAAAAGAACAACTTTGCTTTTATCATAATCCTGTAAACTAGTGGGTAAATATGCTTTAACTAAATCGCAATTTCAAAGGACGAGGATATAAACAGAAGTTGAACATTTAGAACAATAGTTATCATCTGAAGCCAATATAATAGTCATCTGATACACTGATATCTGATGGTTAATTGTATGTTACTGAACTGATTAGAATAATCTAATTGTTAAGGTAGGTATTTGTACTCAAAATAACTTAATGGTAACTTCTCTGACAGTAGTACGAAGAAACAAACGATAGCATTTAATATATTTATGTCAAGCATGAATTTCAGTTCATTATGTACTACTAGTTGAAGTCGAACCTAGTACACTGTGATTACTTAAAGTTAATTTTAGAGTACTACTTTATATTACTTAAATTTTGACAAGATAGTAGTTTATCCTGTCCTCAACCAATAGTTTAGTCATGGCTGTCTAATTTGTTACCTAACATAAAATGGTCGTAAATTCTCACAAAATAACTCTCAGCTATAGCACTTAAGAGATACCAATACACTATATTACTTGTTTACTAATCAATGAAGTAAACTCAAGTCATTAAGCAAAGAATATATGTTTTGAGATGGTGGGGAAGATTTGTAGCTCAGGTGGATGATTTTGATGGAGTTTTGTTCTCTGAACTGGATAGTATGGTTGTGGAGCTTTCATCGTCCTACCTGATGAGGTCGTTCAAAAGAACGATGAAAGCTTTACGACCAAACCATCCAGTTCAGAGAACAAAACTCTACCAAAAAGAATATACGTCTCCAGAACAGTTGAGATGATTTTTTTAACGATCAGTGATAATTGAGGTAATCAAAGTGTTAAAGAAAACACCAAATTGAATAAGTAATAACGGAAACCTAAAACGTTGGAAATTAGGCGTTTACACGCGAAACTGAAGATCATGGATTTATTTTCGAGTGATGTAATCAAAAATAGACACTGTTAAAGAGTCCCATATTAAGATGAAATGACCACCCAATGCTTTCAGATTCTTAACTGTAGTCTAATTTAGATCAGTTCATTATTTCAATGAAATTTGACAATCCCGACAATTTCATACTGAAGACAAAAATTAGATTATGCTCAATTCATAGTACATTTCTAAGTTAGTCAAAATCAGTAATAGTAATTTTTATCAGTTCACATAACTTAAAGATATGCGATAAAAAATCCGGTTCAACATATTCCTTACACTATTCCAAGCACCTCCAGGTTTTATCTTCTCATTTCTGCAGCAATTTATATAAATCTTTTGGTCTCCCATATTGTGCGAACATTCTATGTACCTAAATTATTGATTCCTCTGGTTGTCAGAAGGAGCATCAGCCTTATGACTTCCGAAGGAACTCGGCTTTAATCATGAGACGTCATTACTCTTCTAAATGAAGACCTTCTAACTCCTAAGGCAGGGTTTAAGTGATTTGAATCCTTTTTTCTGGTAAGCGCTTTTTAGCTAGTTAGTTTTCTACAGGGTGGGTTCGCTAACCCCATACCCAACCCTTCTCCTAGCTTGGGGCCGGTAGTAGCCCCAGAGGGGCTCCAGGCGGAGTCTCCCTTTACACTATATATTACTTTTAATGGAGTAGACAAATATTGAAATAATTTACTAAGAATCTGGTTGCACTATTAAGTGTAGCGGAATTTTATTAAAAAAAATATGCATCATGAAATTTACAATGGTGTGATTAACTAGCTAACTTCGAAGTCATACCTCGCGGTCAGCATCTAATGTGGATTACTTCTTCGACGTATCAAAGTAGTGTGGCTGCTCTGAAGGCTGTATAACACTATGGACATTATTATGAAAATATACTATTAAGAATGAGTACAGAGAAGATAGCGAGACCACTACCGCATGGGCCAGTCCATGACATACGATCAACTGATGCGCATTGGTTGTCCTCGACCCTGACAGGGATCGATGATTTGCTCGATATTCAGTGACCCAAATGCTGAATGATTTGCCTAGGTCTCCGCGACATTTCACGGACCCTATAGCATAATTATTCGAATCACATCAGTACTGAAATTCTTTTAACACAGAAATTAGTCATATCATGAATCTCAAACATGAAGAAAATATCGATGCAAACTGGTGACTAAACTTCATGGATTGATTGGATTGTCAGCTTCTAACTCAAATTCTAACTCATTTCCAAGCAAAAAATTAACATCGCTTATTTGGAAGTTCAACCTCATACGAGTAATTGGCTGTCTTTCCCTTTCTCATATTATCCGCTTGTAATGTTCGTATTTCTCAATCATAAAGAATTACAATTCAAACTTCCACATAGGATATTAATGTTTCAAGAGAAATTACCGTAGCTTGCCTACAAACAAGTTTTGTTAACTGATTAGCCTTTTAAGTGGTAGCTTTATACATATTCAACTTTTCTGGTTAGCATTTTTTTAGCGAGTTAGTTTTCTACAGGATAGTGTCGCTAACCTCATGTCCAACTCTACTCCTTTACCCGGGCTTCGGGACTGGTAGTAACTCTAGAAGAGCTATAGGTGGAGTTACACATATTCAACTGCTCTATTTCATTTTTAAGTCAGTTATCTGGATATCTAAGATGAAGAATAATTCTCCAAACGTCTGAGATGAAAATAATATATCTAGAAGAATATACAAGTCTCAGTTTACAGTGTATATGCTCATTGGATATACATTAATAGATCCATACTCTTTCTCTTCATTTATACCTTTTTTTTTCTAGCTTTCATTAGAAAATGGTGAATTAATTCGTCGAGCTAAAGCTGCTGAATCATTAGCTTCTGAATTACAACGTCGTGTAGACGAATTGACAATTGAAGTGAATACATTAACATCACAAAATAGTCAATTAGAAGGTGAAAATCTTCGTTTAAAAAGTTTAGTTAATGATTTAACTGATAAAAATAATGCATTAGAACGTGAAAATCGTCAAATGAATGGTAAGTTATGAATATGACTATTATTATTATTAGTGGCTTTATTCATTACTATATTTTTGGTACAATATAGAATTACAATTGATTGATCACTGGGTGGCGATCAATTGTAATTACATCTCAGTCCTACAGGAGGTCGGTCACGGCTCGGATAGCTCACTGGTAACGTCTCTGACTGTGAAGCTGGGTGACACGAGATCGAATCCGTCAGGGAGCACCAGTTCCCTCAAGATTACAGGTACACCTTGCTGACGAGTGCCAAGTAGCACGAAACCCGGGTCCAGGGTTTCCTGTCGACTACCTTCAACCGCCATCTAATTACAGTATAGAATTCTCAGTACGAAGTATTTCAACAAGTTTCCCATTTGTTAGGTCTTGATCGATCCTGACAATAACGTGTTGGGTGTTCGCCAGTTGGATGTCAGCAGTCCAAAAATCGACATCTAAATGATGTATATTCTTTTTGATGAATATTCTCAGAAACCACGATATCACTGATTGGGCTCTTTTGTAACTTGTACAACGAAAGGTTGTACATATTTGTGAAACGCACCTGAATAGGTTATACAATCAACTGACATAATGGTCTGTTGAAATAAACAAGGAAACAGATAACTTATTGTAATATCCACATGACAGGAACAGGTAGCTCAGATATTTGAGTAAGCCGCCTTTGATGGCATTACTGATAATAAATAGTTTATTTGAACATTTCTATTAAGATAATGAATATTCAATCATCTATTGAGTTTGTTCTTTTTGCCTGAATACATTTCAAATAGTATAGTTGCTGTCACAATTGATTGATCACTGGGGGGTGAACAATGTCATGCGTGTCAAGTCCTTATTTAGTGTAGATCGAATGCTATCGACCATGTCGCAATGTGGCCACCGCCAGGGAGCACCAGGTCCCTCAAGATTATAGGTACACCTTTCTGACGAATGCCAAGTAGCACGAAACCCGGGACCAGGGTTTCCTGTCGACTACCTCCAACCACCATCTAATCTCTGTATAGTTGTTGTATACCACGAAAAATAATATCTCGACCAGAATATATTATGAACTGAATAGAAATGCTTTTCTGTTAAATAAACAGGAGTTTTTGATAAGTCTTCTAATTGAACACTAGATTCGGTTCCTAAGCAGTTCCAGTAACCTCCCCCCACAAGCTAAGTCTACACAGAGACTTGAATACGAAAGAAAAGACGCGAAACATGGAAGGATTTGTTTACTCCAAAGGTTCATTTATGTACAGAAAATCTAGGCTTTTTATGATATTTTAGATGTCTTTGTGTTTCCGGAAAATTTCGGAATGCTACTAAACATAGTAGCAGCATATGTAATAATCCAATATGAAACTCGACATGTCACTCTTCCACTTTCTAGATGTTTCTAGCAAAACTTCTAGTCGATGCTGATTGGATAAGATGATTCTCAGTGTTTTTAGAACCTTGCTTGGATTTTTTTCGAGTTTTCTGGATCCCCCCAACAAATACACAATTAGGAATAATTTCATATAGTTCGCATTATTAGTTGCAAAGTATTATGTCAGTTGTAGAATTTCAGTAGTGGATGCATAACAATAGATAAAGAATGGTAGAAATTGCCTCGAGATGGTTAGGTTCTGTTTTAGAATTCACGTATATCTGGATTATCAGTTCATTTACTGATGATTTCAGGTCAAAAGTTATAACAATCAAGTTATATTATAAGCAAAGACGGGTAGTGGCTAGCAATGGAGCCCAAGAGGCGCGTTTCGACCCGTCTGAATGTACCTGCATCTCAGAGTTGATGTTCACTTTTAAACGCAAACCCAGTACAATTCGCTTCAAATACCATCGCGTTATCCACCTAGCCAGTGAATTCTGATAGCCACTTGCTTATGTAATTGGATGAAGTTTTAAATCCACATGGTATCGTTTTACATGAATCTTCTCATTGATGTTTAGGACTGTAACTGATCAGTCTCTTATTGACATGTGTTCATCCTTTGTGGACTGCTTCAATATTGCCTGAAGTCAGAAACTTTATAAGCAAAGATAGATAGTGGCTATCAGTGGAATCCATTTTGACGTGAGTTTTGTTCTGTTTGGGACTCGTCGTCTGGATGTCCCTTCATCTCAGAGTTGATGTTCACTCCGGAACTCAAACCCAGTACCGTCTGCTTCAAATCCACTTAGCTACTGAGTTACTTTTTTTATTTGTTTTTATTAACAGCAAAATTTTCATTTTCTATTATCTAAATTTTATTTTACTTTATTAATCAAGATCAAGTCAAAGAATTAAAAAGTTCACTTCGTGATGCTAATCGTCGTCTTACTGATTTAGAAGCATTAAGATCACAATTAGAAGCTGAAAGAGATAATCTTGCTTCAGCTTTACATGATGCTGAAGAAGCTTTACATGATATGGATCAAAAATATCAAGCTTCACAAGCTGCATTAAATCATTTAAAATCTGAAATGGAACAAAGGCTCAGAGAAAGAGATGAAGAATTAGAAAGTCTAAGGTAAGGTGTTTTTTTCTTTTCTATTAAAGAAATAATAATAAAGACAGAAAAAACCATAGAGAGTCAGTCAAGATTTGATAAACATGATTGATTGATTTATATTGGTGTTTAAGACTTAATCATTTCTATGACAACCGTTGAGCTGCTAGTTTCGGTCAACTATGATTTCTTTAACAGAACATTCAAAAGCTTTAAAACTGTTGCTAATTTCTACTGATGCCGACTGTTGTCTCTATGGAAGGATAGACTTCCTGAAGTTTGTAGATGAACCCTAATGACAAGTATCAAAAAGCATGAAACATTTGTCAAGTAAAACTCCAATATGACTGTCGTTATTTAACATTGTAGTTAACCAGGGAATGAGTAGTCTTGATCATGTGATCATTCTTTCATTTCATCCTGAAATATTTCACTGTCTCTTCTCTTCATACAGTACATAGCTGCTATAAAAAATCGTTCTTCTAAAATCATAGGATATTATGTAATCGATACATTTGTTACAATCATCAACTAACCTTACATTTCTTTCCAAAAAGAGTCCATTTAATTTATTACTGTTAAGGTTTTCTTCGAAATTCAGTTATCTGAATCAACTTGATTTGATTTATTAGTTGAATTCATGAGTTAATTAAAGATAGACCATCATGGAAAACCTGAAAGCACTGGACAGCCGTTTCATCCTAGTATAGGACTCTTTAGCAGTGTGTATCCAGGATACCGCCTCGAGAGTTTCGAACCCAGGACCTATCACTCTCTTGCGCCGTCCAATGCTTTCAGGTTTTACATGGTGGTCTAGCTTTAAATGACTTGTGATTTCAGTTATTAAATTACTAAAATCTCCATAATACTCCTCTATGATTACAATTTGATTTAGTTTAATGCTGAACAACGGTTCATCACCTGATAATAACTCACTCATTTGCGAAATATCATTGTTCTTTCTTCGTCACATCAATCATTCTTTGTTCTCATTCTCTTTCTTCGATCTTCTTAACCCTCTGCCACCAGGCATTGCACTTTCGATTGAAAATACAAACTACTGATGTCGACAGACATCGGTAACACATACCACGCTCGTCCATGCTTTAAAGCTGTCGTTTTTGCAGTGGTTCTACTCGCTGTGCCACTCTCCGTTAAAATGTCGAGTTCACGGCGCGCTGACCTACATAGCTCAGTCAACCTTCTGAGTCACCAAAATCCAATGTCCACCCAGCATACAGGACGTTCAACACCAGCGCTTCAGTGAACTACTGAGCCATTCACATCCAATTTCCAGTCAGCAGCCGCATATCCCACTGTTCCTCTCCATCGACATTACCCACTACAGCCAACGCTACCTTGACAGAACACTCCACTAGATGTCACCTTCCAGCATCATACTGTCTCAACATCGACAAAACAGCACCCTTCCACCCTCCTAGTTGGCAATGACACTAACAATATATTGATAAACATCATCAACAATAGATGTAATTTAGATTAGAAACTATTTGTTATCTCTTTCTTTTTTTTCTTACAGAAAAAGTACTACTAGAACAATTGAAGAATTAACTGTTACAATTACTGAAATGGAAGTCAAATATAAATCAGAATTATCACGTTTAAAAAAACGTTATGAATCTAATATAGCTGAATTAGAAATTCAATTAGATACTGCTAATAAAGCTAATGCAAATCTTATGAAAGAGAATAAAAATTTATCACAACGTGTTAAAGATTTAGAAACATATTTAGATGAAGAACGTCGTCTACGGGAAGCAGCGGAAAATAATTTACAAGTATGTAAATCAAAATGTTTAAGGTGTATATATATTCAATTTTATATAATTACTTACTTACTTATGCTTGTTACTCCTAATGGAGTATAGGCCGCAGACCAGCATTCTCCAACCCACTCTGTCCTGGGCCTTCTTTTCTAGTTCCATCCAATTCTTGTTCATTTTTCTCATGTCTATTTCCATTTCCCGGCGTAATGTGTTCTTTGGTCTTCCTCTTTTCCTTTGGCCTTGAGGATTCCATGTGAGGGCTTGCCTTGTGACGCAGTTGGGTGCTTTCCTCAATGTGTGTCCTATCCACTTCCAACTCTTCTTCCTGATTTCTTCCTCCACTGGGATCTGGTTTGTTCTCTCCCATGGTAGGTTGTCGCTAATAATGTCCGGCAATTTTATATACTTAGATTAAAGGTAATTATCAGTGAGGGGGGTTGCAAAGATTATTAAGTTGTTTGATTAAGATCATGAATCGATTGATGTTAGACTATCATTGAATACTTCGAAGTAATAAATGGCTGTTTCATTCTAATACGGGGACTGCTTAGCAATGCTAATTGATGTCAAGTAGAAAGATGGTCACGCAAATTTGTGGATTAGTTGAAGTTACACATTAACATCATTGGATGCCGACCATCTCAGTGGTCTACAAGTTAAGCGTTAGCGCACGAGACTGAAGGTCCTGGGTTCGAGCCGCGCATGCGAGATTGTGGATGGCTGCCCAATGTTCCACATTAAGACCTGAATTATAAATGATGATTAAATAATTTGTCAGTTAACATTCAGTTAGACGCTTAAGTGTAAAAAAAGCTTAAGGAACAAGTTTTGAAACTAAGATAGATCTAAACAAAATTTTTCATTTGTAGCATAAATTGCTTATCTATGCTGTGTTCATTCAAATAAGTGACAAATTAGTCTCCTAGAGCCAAACTTATTGTAGTTTTCTTTTATTATTTGATCGGTATCAGTTGGTGTTGGTGTACTTATATCACATATGAGGTACTATTGGTTATGTTTGGATAAGTTTAAGAACCGATCTCGAGAAACTAAGAGTAAATGTTGAGGCAGTACCATTGATATATGTGAAGGTTTATATTTTTTTAGTTGATGGTTGGATTTTATTGAAAGATATATATCCTGAGTGGACTGTCTCTCAATGTGAATATAAATACTAGGAACCTGATTCATCAATTTGACACGTTCCAAATAAGTTGAAATACGCCATCTTGGATTTCACTATTGACCACAATTTAATTTTATTTATAACAATTCTGTTTGGTTACCAAAGTTCTGTGTTTGAATCCCCCAGAACAACCAATTTCAACGTATACTCATTAATTCATTAGTTAAACACCAGGACCCTTATTTAACTTGATTAGACTTAGAAACTGTTCTGGTACGGCCCTCAAATGTCCTGGTACCGCCGAGAGCGGGGAGAGATCACTCTCCCTCTTCCAATGCTCTCACATAGCCACGTCCATACAATCCCTACCAGAGAAGTCCTACTCACTGCATTCTTGAGGCATTACTGTTGTTTACGAAGTTGAGAAGATGAAAAGTGAATGTCCGGTGCTTTAATCGGGTTGGTGGACACAGAGAGTCCACCTAAGGGAGTTTTAAAACCTTCATTCCATACGGACTCCAGGATCCTAAGAAAACAAATAGCATTTGAACCTAATGTTGGTCATTGGCTTCTATGGAACTGCATCTCTTAACGTTGCTTTAATGCCTTGTGGATCAGACCTTTAGGTCGAAGGCTCCGGTTGTGGCCCCCCTGGGAAAACCACCTGTCTTGGTCTAGGCATTCGAGCAGTATCCCCCTCAAATAATGTCTGAATAACACTGGAGCTTAAGATCGTTCTTCTTTAGTGTCATTGTTACGTTTATTGTTCCAAGTATTACAATTAACATCATTGAACTATTATTATTGCTTAATCAATTCTTTCTGAACATTTTTTAATATTTAGATTACTGAACATAAACGTTTACAATTAGCAAATGAACTTGAAGAAATACGTAGTACATTAGAAAATTTAGAACGTTTACGTAAACATGCTGAAACAGAACTTGAAGAAGCTCAATCACGTGTTAGTGAATTAACTATGCAAGTGAATACATTAACTAATGATAAACGTCGTCTTGAAGGTGATATTGGTGTAATGCAAGCTGATATGGACGATGCTATTAATGCTAAACAGGTAAATTATTCTTGTATTCTTGATATATTTCTGTTGAAAAATTCATGTATCAATAGAAGATGGTGAAGTTGTTCAGATTTACCAACATGTATTTGTATTACATTATTGTTAGTGATGATAGTGTTTTGATCCATTGACTCTTTTTGCATCCAGAGTTTTTATACATTATTACGATGTGATTAACATCAAAGCGGATATTTTAGTATTATTATGTTGTTGATTTCCTAAATAAATGGTTGCTCTGGTTGTCAGAAGGGGCATCGGCCTCGTAACTTCCGAAGGAATTCGGCTTTCATCATGAGGCGTCATAGTTCTTCTAAATGAAAACCTTCTGACTCCCAAGGCAGAGTTTAAAAGGTTTGAATAATTTTTTCTGGTTAGCGTTTTTTTAGCGAGTTAGTTTTCTACGGGATGAGGACGCTAACCCCATGCCCAACCCTCCTCCTTTATCCGGGCTTGAGACCGATAGTAACCCCCGGAGGGACTCCAGGCGGAGGAACTAGAAAAGAAGGCCCAGGACAGAGTGGGTTGGAGAATGCTGGTCTGCGGCCTATGCTCAATCAGGAGTAACAGGCGTGTAAAAAACGTTGTTGAGGACGTTAGATCCCAAGAATTCACTTGGAAAAGATCCTAATTTTGTAATTTTATCCTGAAAATTTGAATTTTATGTTTTTGCTCTGAGAGACGCTTAGTTCACCTACAGCTTACATTTCCCTCTCAGAAAAACCTAGACTGTCATTGGTTGACGGATTTTTTTAGTACGCTATTTTGTGGCTCTCCCAAGGACGTTTCTGTCATTGTATAAATAAGCTTGATTTATGTGATTAGTGACCCCGTATTTTCTGGGTGAGTGTAGAATACATTCTCTACGCCTCACCAAGACATGCTGATCTAGTTAGTACGGCTGAGAACAACGGGTTAGAATAGCCTATCCTGTTATTGTATCTTTAACCTTCGTTCCGTTTACCGAGTAAGGTGAACTCGTAATAGCATTCAAGCATATCATGCATTCTCTGAGCAACAGAGTATAACTGAGAAACTTTCATTGTCAACCTGAACAATATCATCAATGCTTACTTCATGTAGAAGTTAGATTCTTAGTTATTCCATGAATCTTAAATCAGTTTATCCTTATGGTCTTAATTATGATTGGCTATCCTTGTAAGTTTTATTATTGTTGTCAGACCTTAAAATCAAATGCTGGTCTATTGACGGGTATTTTTTTGATAGTTGAATTCATGAGTCAACTGAAGATAGACCAACATGGAAAACTTAGAAGAACCAGACAGCCGTTTCGTCCTAGTATAGTACTCCTTAATAGTGCGCATCCACAATCCCGCCTCGTGAGATTCCAACTCAGGACATATCAGTCTCGCGCGCGAACGCCTGACAAATAGGCCACTGATATGCCCAGCATCCAGTGTTGTCGATGTCTAACTTCAACCAATCCATGAAATCGCATCACCGTCCATTATTGTCTTAAGTGAGTTACAGTCTCACAATAAACCCGGTTGAACTCCACTGGTCACACCTTCCCACTAGAACTTCAGGAATTACTAGGACGAAATAGCCGTCCAGTTATTCCAAGTTATCCATGGTGTTCTAGCTTCAATTGACTCATGAATTTAACCATTAAAATTACTGTAATATCCACAAAACTCCTTCTCTGAATATTTATTACTTTCAAGTATGAAATGGATGTTTGAAACAAATGGAAAACTTTTGATTCGTCTTAAACCTTAAGTCATTGTTTAACCGAATATTTTACAGTTCATAGTGTGTAAGGACAAATTGCGTCAATTTTAGAGTATTTTCATATAATGAATTGCTAAAGCTTTGATTAGGATCTATTAATGGTAAACGTTAGATATGTAGTTAACTTCAAAAAATTCAAAACATTAAAGACAATTATTATTTATTTACAAACATAAACATATTTACAAGAAGGCACCAAAAAGATATGCGCCACATAAATCATTCCATTCGTGTGATGGCTGGGATACTGCCTGGTTGCCCAAACCGAAGCACGTGGCTTTCTGAGGAGGCCACACCCCGAGCTTTCGACGTAAAGGTCTGATCCACATGGCAGTGTAGAAACGTCAGGAGATGCAGTCCATGGTATTTGGTGACGAACGATTGGTTCATATTCCATTTGTTCCTTGAGGATCCTGGAGTCCATATACACCATTGGTTTATAATCAGAGTTTTACAACTTCCCTAGATGGACTCTCCATCAACTCGATTAATTAGCCGGACATTCGCCTTTTGTCCTCTCAATTTCGTGAACAACAGTAATGCAGCGAAAAAGCAGTGAGCAGGACTTGTGTGTCAGTAGCTGTTTACGCGTGGCCATGTGAGAGCATTTGTAGAATGGTCTCTCCCCACTCTCGGCCGTACAAGGGCATTTGGGGGCAAAATATGACGCGATAACGAAGGTGGTCCATTCAGCACACCGATTAGGTAGACCACACAGTGATTTGGCGAAGTAACCACCTCCAAGGAATTTAAAACATTAAAGACAATACATGACAGAATATTAATAATTTAAATCTACTTGACTGAATTCATCAAAGACAATCATAAACAGAAGATCTTAGATCTAATCTTCGAAAGTGTTCATAAAACGAGTTTTTTTGAGTCCCAAATTTAGTGAAATCATAATCACAACACTTAAAACTTTCTACTAATCTAATGCTATTGTCGTATAATTTACTATGAAAATTTTTTTTTATCAATCTAGGCTTCTGAAGATAGAGCAACTAGACTAAATAATGAAGTTCTACGTTTAGCAGATGAACTACGCCAAGAACAAGAAAATTATAAACATGCTGAAGCTTTAAGAAAACAACTTGAAATTGAAATTCGTGAGATTACAGTAAAATTAGAAGAAGCTGAAGCATTTGCTACTCGTGAAGGTCGTCGTATGGTTCAAAAACTACAGGTGAATTAATGTTGTATTTTTTTTTCTCTCGCAAATTACACTTTATTTTAACAATACGGCGTTGTGGAGACCACTGAGGTTAAGTGATCACATGCGAGACCAAAGAACCTGGGTTGGAATCTCGCAAGCGGGATCGTGGATGTTCATTGCTGAACAGTCTTACAGTAGGACGAAACGGCCACCCAGTGCTTCTAGGTTTTCAATTCGAGTCTAACATCAATTGATTCATGATCTCAATCAAAAACGTTATCTTCGGATAACTGTAAAGTCATATCATTCTAAGTGTTTATCTCTATTGCTATGAAACAACATGAAGAAAGAGTAAATTAGCTCATTTTCTTCGATATCTTTACTCTTTATATCTAACATGTTTTAAACTCATAAACAGAGATATACAGTATAGATATAAAATGAAAAACTGAATTGGTTTAACTTGTCTAAACTAAGAATAAATAGCACAAGTACAAAAAAGATGTTAAGATGAAGATGAGAAAGAAATGTATAAGTTAACATGAAGAATGAGCATTTCTATCAAAATGAAGACTGACAACAATATATGTTATTGTAATGAGTTGATATTAACTAGAAGAATATAAAAAGTGCTTTATTTATCGAAATATTCTCAATTAAGACAATTATATGAACCAATTCAGAAAGATTGTCTTGGTAGTGATATGTAAATATCTTATGAAACACCTATCCTGCTAGCCTGATTAGGGTTTTTTAGCGGGTTAGTTTTCCACGGGACGGGGTCGCTAACCCCATACCCAACCATCCTCCTTTATCCGGGCTTGCGACCGGCAGTAGCCCCGGAAGGGCTCCAGGTGAAGTGTTACAAGTGTTTATTTATAGCTGTCTACGCAAAATTCTTCGGATCCGTTGACCAGACATTATCAGCAACAACCTACTGTGGGAGGAAACAAATCGGATTCCAGCGGAGGAACAAATCAGGAAGAAGCTCTGGAAGTGGATAGGACACACATTGAGGAAAGCACCCAACTGCGTCACAAGGCAAGCCCTCACTTGGAATCCTCAAGGCCAAAGGAGAAGAGGAAGACCAAATAACACATCACGCCGAGAAATGCAGACAAACATGAGAAGAATGAATAACAATTTGAAAGAACTAGAAAGGAAAGCCCAGGACAGAGTGAGATGGAGAATACTGATTGGAGGTCTATGCTCCGCTGGGAGTAACAGGCGTAAATAAGTAAGTATCCTGCTAACCACATTCTAACGTATAAACAACAATTTTATTGACAATGTAAGAGCCAAAATAAAAAACTTAGAAGATCGAACTCTTGATTTCATCACTTTTAATATTCCTTTATATATATATATTATAGGCACGTGTACGTGAACTTGAAGCAGAATTTGATGGTGAATCAAGAAGATGTAAAGATGCATTAGCTCAAGCACGTAAATTTGAACGTCAATATAAAGAATTACAAACACAAGCTGAAGATGATCGTCGTATGGTTTTGGAACTTCAAGATTTATTAGATAAAACTCAAATGAAAATGAAAGCATATAAACGTCAATTGGAAGAAATGGTAAGTAATTTAAATATTTCAATGAATAGTCTTATTATTAAGATGTTTTATTTGTTTTATTAAAAGATTAATAAATATTATAATGGTCTCGCGTTCGAGCGCGAGACTGATAGGTCCTGGGTTCGGATCTTACGAGGTGGGATCGTGAATGTGCACTGTTGAAGAGTTCCATACTACAATGAAACGGTCGTCCAGTGCTTCCAGGTTTTCCATGGTGGTCTTTCTTCAACTGACTCATGATCTCAGCTATTGAAATTACTATAATATCCACAAGAACCTCTTCTGATACTAATCACCATATGCTCACCAGTGACGGTCTCCAAGAGGTATGTCCTGGAGCTCTAGTAAGAAACTGTGACCAGTGGAATTTAACCGGGTCTGTTGTGACATAGTAACTCGCTTAAGACAATGGTGGACGGTGGCGCAATTTCGTGGATTACTTGAGGTTAGACATTAACACCGTTGGATGCCGGCCATCTCAGTGGTCTAGTGGAAAAGCGCTCGTGCGCGAGACTGGTAGGTCTTAGGTTCGAATCTCACGAGACGGGATTGTGGGTGCACATTATTGAGGAGTCCTATACTAGGAAGAAACGGCTGTCCGGTACTTCCAGGTTTTCTATGGTGGTCCAGCTTCTAATGACTCATAAATTCAACTATTAAAATTTAATAAATATACCTAACTTTTTTTCTAATTACAGGAAGAAGTTTCACAAATTACAATGAATAAATATCGTAAAGCACAACAACAAATTGAAGAAGCTGAACATCGTGCAGATATGGCTGAACGTACAGTAACTGTACGTCGTGTTGGTCCAGGTGGACGTGCTGTTTCAGTAGCACGTGAATTATCTGTCACTTCAAATAGAGGAATGAGAGCAACAAGTATGATGTAAAGCACACACACACCTACACGCCTATATGTTTCTCTTTTCGTTTTCCTCATGTTCGCTTCATTTAGCCAATAATATCTATCTAATGAGGAAATTATCAATAATGACTTATTATTATTATTATCCAATGTGCTTTACTTCATTTCTCTCTCTAAATCTCCTCGATATGCTGCTGTTGCTGGTTTGTTCCTTTTTCTTTCTTTCTTTCTTTCTCTTTTTTTAACTTCCTAAAGTGAAAGACGAAAAAGAAAAAAGAGAACGGTTTCAGTAAAAAAACTGAAACTACACTACTACTACTACTACTACTGATAAACAATAAGTAAATTATTTGTTTATAACTAGCTTACAAATAACCTAGGCATGAATTGTTTTGTTATCTTCTTCTTCTTCTTCATTATTGACAATTATTGTCTCTATGAAATAATAACAAGAACAAACACTGTTACCCTGGTTACTATCTCTATGATTAGTATAAATAACAACTAATCCCTTATTGCTATTTTCCCTTCAACTCATTCATTTGAAATTTCGTTTCAAGTTTTCAATTATGGAAGATCGTAATATTCAAAGAAAAACAAACAAATCTGTATTGATTACTCCTTTGTTTTGTTTTTTTTTTATTCAAAGAAACAATAAACATTTATATTATTGAATGATTCTTAAAAATATAGATAGATACTTGAATGTTATTTCCATCTACGGAATAGATGAAACAGAATGGCTATTTAACAAGTGAAATATCTTCACAATAAACAAACAAACAAAAAAGAAAAGAAAAAAAAGAAGATTAGAATAAAGTAAACATCAATCACCAAGATAGTAACAATCAATTACATATATAAATGTTAATTCTATTTATCTTTCAAAATGGTTACTATTCCTATTATCACTATTATTATTATTACTCATTATTGATTATTGATGATCGATTATTGATTATTCTCTTTCTTTTTTGTTGTTGTTTCATTGGTTATTGATTTTACAAATTACAAATTGATTCCCCCTTTTACGCTTTGTTTCTCTCGCTCTCTCTCTCTCGCCTCCCCCCCTACACACATACATACATGCAAGCAAACTATAAAAAAATATCAGGAAAATTATTGTTTATGCCATGTACAACTAAATTAGTTATTGCTTTTAACCTTGTTAGTTTGTGTTTTTTGTTTTTCTAAAAAGTAAAAAAATATTTTTATCAATTTCTTTATTTTTATCACATTTTCTTCTTGTTCTTCTTCTTCCTCCTCCTCCTCTTCTTCTTCTATAGTCCTTTCATTCTTTCATTTATTGTACTATTCACATAACTATTATCGTTATTATTATTATTACCTAACCAACGGTTTGAACTACGAAATTTTCCCATATTTCTAAGGAAACAAAGAAAAAACTTTTAAAAAATATCTGTGCAATCGTAATAGATAATCTTTATTTATTGATTAGATCCGTCGTTGTTTTTCTTTCCCCTAAATTCTTTAGATACTACTACTATACTACTAATAATGAAGATAAGTAGTATTTTCACTTTATATAAATAAGAAATAGATAGATATTCATGAATAGTCAATTGGATTTAGATCAAATAGATTGGAAAAAACAAACATTTGTATGTGTGTTGTTTATTTCATGTGTGTAAGTATGTAATATTGATTATGTAAGGGCATGTGTTCTCTTGATTGGGTCACGTGTTACGTATGCCTGAACACTGATTACCAAGATGCGCAATGCTGACGAGTGTTTGGGATGGTTGAAAGAAAATTAGGCGCGGACAAACCAAAACCTGGCACCAGTCCTTGAAGTCACTAACTTCTAATCTGGGCCATGTTGGTAGATGCAGACTACTTGGTTGGGGTCCGTGTGACTATCGTAACCAGTGGTTGGAAACTTTGGATGACATGGCTCAGAATTGATCACAATGGCATCGATGTATACATTCTTTATCTTCGCTTAATCTATGAGATTAAAGTTGCTTTATATCTTTCTTTCTTCGTGTACTATATCCTTATACACAATCTTTCTTTTATATATTAATACCATTGAAGTAACCACTTCTATGAATTCGTTGTTCATCTTGTTGTGCTAATGAGGTGTGGCTGGTTGAACCGATGTATATATTTGCCTGGTCCTGCGTTGTAGTTGACTGACTGACATTGGACTATGATGCTTACAATACAGTAAAACGAGAACTTCTGTAAGATTTCGCGGTAGGAAAAAAGGGAATGAACTAAACAAACATTGATAAAGATATTTTATTGAAGGTTTTGTCGTGAATTTTCATATCATCTTAGTATTACAAAGGGGCACCGAATACCTATGCACCACACAACTCAATTGATTTGTGTGTAGGTTGTGATACTGCACGGGTGTCCAGAATGAAGCAGCTGGTTTTCTTAGGGGACCACAAGTAGAGCCTTCGACCTAAAGGTCTGATCCACAAGGCAGTGGCGCAAGGTAAGAAGATGCAGTCCCATGGTAACCGGTGACCAATGATTGGTTTATACGCCATTTGTTCCTTCAAGATCCTGGAGCTCATGTGCATCATTAATTTGGAATCAGGGTTTTCCAACTCTGATTTATATGATATAATTCACTATGCGTACATCAGTTTATCTATCAGTAGTAGTTCTCCTTGAACCTGATTCAGACGTTTGAATAGATACTTTCTCATATGAGCCTCAAATTACAAACTAATAGTTACTAAGAATCGGAAATGCTTATAATAAGTGTTGGTTATACTCAAATTTACTCAAAAAATGGAGGAGGGCTAATTAAGCAAACAATTATTATAAGATATCATACGAATGCTTCACAATATAATTAACTAATTTTTAATATCAGAAGGGGTTTTGTGGATATTATTATAGTAGTTTTAATAGTTGAAATCATGATTCAATTAAAGCTAGACCACCATGTAAAACTTGGAAGCACTAGACGACCGTTTCATCCTACTTTGAGACTCCTCAGCAGTGCGCATCCACGATCCCTCCTTGCAAGATTCGAACCCAGGACCTGTCAGTCTCGGGCGCGAGTGCTTAACCATTAGACCAAATTATAAATCCGATAACTGTGTTTACCAATTTGGAACTTTGTATACAAATATTCTTGATCTTCTGTATGTATCGATTTTTTATTCAGATCTAATATATGATACCTATTGCTTCCAACGTATTTCTAACGTAATCACTAATCTACAAAATTACGGTAGAAACATCCTATTTAAATTTTATTCAGTGATTTATATAATTCTGTTCACCATTGTATAAAAAGGAGATGGTTGTTATAACCGAATAATCTAATGGGTTATATTTAAGTTTTCTAATCTTTGTTAGGCCACTCATATCATTATATTCATATACAGAATTCATAAGTCCTAAATAGAACAAAGTTAAACATCGTGTTTCATTATGCTCTCCTGAGGATAAAGATCTTTTCTAGTCCATTCTAATTCTTAATTAACCGTTCTACTGATATTGCAGTAAACAAGAACACGAGTAGGGAGAATCGAATGTATTTAAACACGAAATTACCGAATATCTTACTAAAATCTGAGAATTCTACAGTAAATACTTCATTTGCAAAATGTCAATCAATCGTCTCAGACTTGACTATTCTTTCGCTTTGACACCAATCATTCTCTTTTCTTCGATCTTCTTAACCTTCTGATACCAGTTTTCTCATCTTTGTTAGGCCACTCATATCATTATATTCATATACAGAATTCATAAGTCCTAAATAGAACAAAGTTAAACATCGTGTTTCATTATGCTCTCCTGAGGATAAAGATCTTTTCTAGTCCATTCTAATTATTAATTAACCTTTCAACTGATATTTGTTTCTAAGACAAATCGATATCCATAATATTCATTTACTAAACTGAATGATGTAATCTGAGTGGATAAATGAAATGAAAGTACAAAATTGAATAGAAGTATATTTATGTGAAAAGAAGTAATACAAAAGCTCAATAAATCGTCAACATGATAAAACATTGTGAAATCAGTTAACAATATAGTAGTATGGGATTATAACAGATCGAATGTATCGTAATCAGTAATTGAGGTCATCTTTTCGTTTATTTATTCTTACATACTTACTTACTCCTGTTACTCCTCGTGGGGGAGCATTCTCCATCCAACCCTGTCCTGGGAAATCCTTTCCAGTTGTCATTCATCCTTTCCATATCTGCCTCTATTTCCCGACGTAATATGGTCTTCGACCTTCCTCTTTTCCGCTTCCCTTCAGAATTCCTGCCTCGTGATGCAGTTTGATGATTTGCGCAATGTATGTCCTATCCACTTACAACGTCTTTCCCTATTTTCCTCTTCAGCTGAAAGCTAGTTTGTTCTCTCCCACAGTAGGCTGTTGCTGATGGTATCAAGTCAACGGACATTGAGTATCTTACGTAGACAATTATTTATAAATACTTGTATCTGCTTGATGATGGTTATGGTAGTTATCCACGTTTCAGCTCCCTGCAATATAACTAACTGTCTTCACGTTCGCATTTAAGATTCTGACTTTGACATTGGTTGAAAGTCGCTTTGAGTCCCATATTTTCTTCGATTGTAGGAATTCAGCTCTTGCTTTGCCAATCCTGTCCTTTACGTCTGTATCAGATCCTTCTTGGTCATCGATGATGCTGCCCAGGTAAGTGATGGATATTAAATATTCTGGAATAACCTCAATTATAAAATTAATTGAAAGTATGTCTAACGTTATATTGTAATTTTTCTCTCATCCTTGACTGACTGGACAATACTTGACACATCTTCAGGATGATGGAGGGTTATTTTTGTCGTGAAAATCTTTACATTTTTCATGTAAGCCTGTAAAAAAACAGAGAAGGAAACGCTCCCTCCATCATGAATAACGATAGTGTAAATAATAATTCCTTCATTTTAGTAGGTTGCCAGGTCTAAAGTCAAAATGCGGACAAGAGTATGGTTTATCTACAATCGACATATCTACAAGAAGGTATCGTCCAATCATATCGAAACACTGCCGATGTAACGTGTTCAATACGCTGCACAAGCATTCTAATCAAGGTATTCGAACAACCATCAAGCTCATAGCGGAAGGATTTTTTTGGTTTGGTATGAATAAGTACGTAAGTGAGTGGGCATGCTCCTGTGTAAGCTGCCGAAAATCTAGGGTAATTGGGCACAACAGATGTCCATTAGGATCTTCCTCAACTCCTGACTCTCTTTTCTGCCATATTCATCTGGATTTGATAAGACCCTTACCAGTTTAAAATGGACCCTCTCACCTCTTAACGTGGGTGAACCATTTCGCAAGATAGTTAGGAGCTGTACCTATCAAGGGAATCGGTGCTGAAATAGCGGACCGCGTCTTTATCGAACGATGCGTAGCAAACTTTGACTTCCCTTCAGCAATCACTACAGACCGTGGACGCCAATTTAGACTGAACGTTTCTGCTGTCTTGATAAACTACTAGGAATCAAGCGATTCCAAACGACCGCCTACCACCCACAAGCTAACGGGTCGGTAGGAGAATTTCCCCGACAGTTGAAAGCTTCACTCTCGGATGCAAGTATATCACAGTGGACTGACGCTCTCTCACTCGTGTTACTCAGCATTCACAATGCAATGAAAGCTGACCTTGGTTACAGTACAGAACTACTCATTTACGAAATAACGCTCCAACTTTTAGTTCAATTCGTAGATCCTTCATCTTCACTGAATTTGGATCAAAACTCTTACACCAGCAGGTTTATAAACGCTATGCGTTTGGCTAAACCTGTGTCCTGTCGATCTCAGTCAACTGATGTTTTTGTCCAACCCACCTTACGACTTAGTATTCACGTTTCTGTACGTCGCGATTCATTACACCAACCTCCAAAAACTGTATACGAAGGACACTTCAAAGTCCCTCATTCCAAATCTAAATACTATAACATTGATAAAAACGAAACTAACAATAATGTCAGCATTGACCATCTTAAAGCCACTTACCTAAAAGGAAACCATAACTATGTTGACTTTCCTCCCGAACAATTGAACGATACAAGCCTTATAATTACAGTACTATCTTCGATAATTGACGACTACGACGAAAGTTCTCTAGTATCCAACATCTGTGCCAAAACAACGCGCCTTGAAAGAAAGGTAAGGTTTCAATAGAAAAAAGTCCTTGGAAAAGTTTCTAGTCCTTACAAAGAAAAATTGACAGCTTGAGTTCTACATATATGGGAGAACTCAAACAATATAAATACAATTAGCTGCCCGATGGCAAGTAATAATTAATAGGCAAATCTGAAACTTCATAATTCAAATCACAAAACAATCTTAGACCACCATTGAAAACTTAGAATCATGGATTCACCATTTCGTCCCAGTATGAGAATTCTCAACAGTGAGCATTCATTTTACTTCTCATTCGTCTAATACTGTTTAGATAAATTAGTGGACTTTTATTTGAACTAATTAGTTAATTTATCGGGATACATAGTGATCAACCAGCTTGTTTAACACAACAATACAAACTCATACCTACCTAATTATTTACCATCATTTTATGTATGGTCTGATATGGATATTCATCAATATTTGAACGAATAGCATGACAGAAATTACCTGATATTATTGCCATGGCTATTGTGATTCGTGACCCCCCCTATTGATGAATATTTAGGGGTATGATCATAAATATTTTATAGTAAATGATTGATCTGTGTTCATTTAATTAGTAACACACTTTTCATTACCTGTAATCATTCATTAATCAATTGTCAATATTGCATTGTTGTAATTTGATTAATTGATACTTAATGCTGATCTGGCTTTTGAGATGTAAAAAAACTATCATTCGACTTGAAACAGTGAATATTTAACCTACGGATAAAATTAGCGGATTATTGTAGCTAACGTGACCTATGAAATCACAACTTTCAAGGCTTGACAGTACAATTCATTAGTCGAAAAACTGACCAGTTACAAAATCCTTGTTAATGGTGTAATTCATTCATCTAGTCGAGTAAACGTACTATATATACTATATATACTTAATTGCATAGAACACTACTTTTCCAACATCAGACTGTGAAAACATCAGGTTTTCATTAAAAAAAAGAATAAATACTATCTTGTAGTTGAATTCATGAGTTAATTAAAGCTAGACCACCATGGGAAACCTGGAAGCACCGGACGACCGCTCGATTCTAGTTTGGGACTCTTCAGCAGTGCGCATCCACAATTCCACTCGCAGGATTCAAAACCGGAACCTATCGGTCTCGCGCGCGAATACTTAACCTCTAGACTATTGAACCTGTATCCAACAGTGTTAATGTTTAACTTCCACCGATCGACAAATATTTACAACTGAAGAACATTTGGAACTCAAAACAACTGTCAACCAACACTAAGGTCAGAATTTTCATCACAAATGTCAAGACAGTTCTACTGTATGGGGTAGAAACCTGGAGAACTACGAAAGCCGCCATCCAGAAAATACAAGTGCTTATTAACAGCTGTCTACGCAAAATACTTCAGATCCGTTGACCAGACATTATCAGCAACAACCTACTGTAGGGAGAACAAACCAGATCTTAGCGAAGGAAGTGGATAGGACACACATTGAGGAAAGCACTCAACTGCTTCACAAGGCAAGCCCCACTTGGGATCCTCGAGGCCAAAGACGAAGAGAAAGACCAAAGAATACATTACGCCGAGAAATGGAGATAGACATGAGAAAAATGAACAAAAACTGGATAGAATTGGAAAGGATGCCCCAGGACAGAGTGGTTTGGAGAATGCTGGTCAGCGACCTATGCTCCATTGAGAGTAACAGGCGGCCATTATCATATACACTTATGTAGGCATATCCTGTTTTCTTCTTATTATTCCAATCCCATTCATGTATTTTCATAGATATTCTATGAATTTATCCTCAAATTAGTGAAATAACTGTTTACTTTGAAAAAAATATTAATCCAATTAATGTATGAATAGTGTATACCATATACTGTTGACCTAATTACTGGTATTATAAAAATTATACTTTAATAGATCAGTTAAATGTTGAAAGATTACTTCAAGTAAAACAAAATATATTTCTTTTATTAAGTTTAACATGAAATCATTTAAAATAGTTTTGTTTAGTTAAGTTTAAACAAACACTATATTATTAACCTATAAAATCTATTCAAATTATGCTTGACAGAATAAGTAAACATTTGTTTACCATTGATATTTATGAAAAATGAATTAAATCAAGATCATACTACGATACTACTACTACTACTTCCGATTTCAATGAGTTACAAATATTGTTTGTTTGTGTTTAGTTTGAAAAAAAAAGGAAGGAACTCCTTCCCATACACCATGGAATATTTGTTTAGGTCATAGATATTGATAAAAAGGGTCATCAAACATATATGCGTCACACAATTCACTTGATTTGTGTATGGGATGTGATACTACTCGGATAATCAAACTGAAACAGGTAGCTTTCTTAGGGAGCCATACCTCAAGCATTTGACGTAAAGGTCTGATCCACATGGCAGTGGAACAACGTTAAGAGATGCAGTCCCATTGTAGCCGGTCACCAACGATTGGTTTATACGCCATTTGTTCCTTCAGGATCCTGGAACATATGTGCACCATTGATATAGAATCAAGTTTTTCAAACTCCCTTAAGTAGATCATCCATATCCACCAACCTGGTTAGGGCTTTTCATCCTCTGAATTTCGTAAATAACAGTAATGTTGCTAGAAGGCAGTGAGTATGACTTCCCTGATAATGGTTGTATACGCGTGACCATGTGAAAGCATTGGGAGAGGGACGTTTAGGGGCATGTTCAAACTGACATCGACTACACCTTTGTAATGGACTAAAAAATATCCAACCTAGAAATTAGGCTGAAACTGACATTTTAATGATATAAAACTAGATATATGACAGATAATTGTTTTCTATGGTGATATTTTTTGCAAGAATTGAAGAAGGAATTTTATCGAAAATGTGGAAGATTCTAATAACTTTGAAAAAAATTTACCATGAGAGTACTGATCGATGCATTTTTTTTCTTTTGCCTAGACATTCTTTATACAGGTATAACTGAGATTTAGATAATGGTTGGAGGTAGTCAACAGGAAACCCTGAACCCGGGTTTCGTGCTACTTGGCACTCGTCAGCAAGGTGTACCTGTAATCTTGAGGGAACTGATGCTCCCTGGCGGATTCGATCTCGTGTTACCCAGCTTCACAGGTATAACTAATTATAGTTAAGCCACAATTATAATTTAAATTTCATTGAATGTACTGAAAGAATGACAAACAACACCGTGAACGAAAATATCACTTTGCATTTATTCCACACACACACACACATACATACACACACTTAACGTTCATTATCTAATTCCAAGTAAACTCTGTACTGATTGACATAAGTGAATAAATAATGCAAAGTAATTTCATGTGTATCTCTTAAACATTCACTTGGTGATGTGTGCTACTGATATCGATATATATAAGTAGTATGTGTTACCAGCCGAAAGTGAAATCCCTGGAGGCGAAAGGTTAAGAAGATCAAATAAAAGAGAACAAAGAATGATTGGTGTGGAAATGAAGGAACAATCAAGTCTGAGACAAATGATTAACATTTTGCAAATGAATTATTTACTATATGGTTCTCAGATTTCACTAAATGATTCTGTAATTTTGTGTTCAAATACATCCGATTGTGTCCATTTATGTTCTCGGTGATTCCTGCTGTAATTGGCACCAACAAGTACTATAGTTATACATTCTGTACAATCGACAACAATACTATAGTATATTTTCTTGTTGATAGAGGTGCAACCAGTGTTAACAACTTGAATCTGTGAAATGTGGGTACTATTTTCCTGGAACCTATCTCAAAACTATATGTTGGAGCTCTTAATATTCAAACAATATGTCAAATCAGACAACAGGTTTCATCAGCTAAGACTAGAATCTCATGTCATCTATCTATATTGTCTCCGAATCCTGTACACGAGATCCCAGCAAGGTCATTCATTTGAGAGTACAGAGATCCAGCAACTTTTCATGTCTCTGACATTAAGTTTGAAAATAAAACAAGTAATGCTTTCTTCCAGCAGTTATTTGGGTACTGTCCGATTAAATGGTACAGTAAGAACTCAAGAATACTGTTATAACTTGTGACCGCCTATTAATGTGCAGTGACTTATCGATCGGATCAATGACGCGTAAAACCGTATGAGCAGTATAGAGTCTTGATTGGCCCTGCTTTCCGTCTAGCCCAGTCAGTTAAGTCCAGAACACAAGTCTCAGCCTCTGCGATATGAATTATTTATTTCAAACATACTCGATTTATATATCAACCAGATAGACCACAACGTACCATAAAATAGAAAATAACATTTGTACAATAATCGGCCAACGGGAAAGTGACACGTGAAATAAATATTGACCAATAGGAAAATGATACCATTTCAAGTCCAAGGATAGCATTAGACTTAACAGGATAATTTTTCTGAATATCCCAACAAATACCCCGTAAAATGTTTTTCACTAATGTCTTTTATACCTTCCATCTATCTATACCAGCTTTCACACAGCTGACTTAACCACAATAGGTCGCATTTACAACGCTGCTATTAGAGCAGTTTTGCTACATGCTTATCGAACTTAGTCTACCCAAAATGGGTATGTATTACTCAATGTTTTCATGTTGAAAAGTTTTATTGGCTTTTATAGTGCACAGAACTTACCAACCTAAGCAATGGTCAACTTATGATATGGCGCCGTGCAGTGGAAGACAGTTAGTTGTATTAGATTGGAGCTCATCTGCTCATTAAGACAACTGTAGATAGAATTTTAGTGATCGAACATTTTAGCAAATCCAAAAGTTATAAAAACATTACTTTGATTAATGATGACCCTGATGTGATTAACTACTACTATTACACTCCTAAGAAACAGTAAAATAAACCCTCCGAATAAACAAAATCCATCTTGGTTGTGTTTTACTCGAACTGTGTATTTTAACACTTGTCATTCCCTGTTACTTATATTTTCTTGCTTATTTCTTTACAATATTGTTATTTTTATATAACAAACTACTTTTTCCATTATTAGGTAACATAAGTGAATAAAACCTTATATAGGGTCAAACTCTGAAATTGTCAGAATACGAGAGAAGGAGGACATTCTTTTAGAAAAATATATAAACAAAGAAACTTGAAGAAATGCCTCAATATGAAAGCGTAGCTAATACGATCATGTTTAAAGGTAAAATACAGTGAGAGAGAGAGAGAAAAAACATATTAACTAGGCTTCTACTGTACAACTTCATGAAATGAAATCACTAAACACAACTACTTGGATCGAGTCTTATAACCCATATGAACTGATACAATACCATTTGAATAATTAATCCAATTAACACCATCAAATTTTGATTGTGTAATGATCTGAGCAAATTCTTCTTGATTAGGAAATTGACGAATACTTTCAACTAAATATTTGTAAGAATTCCAATCACCTGCAATAAGTTGACCAATTACAGGTATTAACTGCATAGAATATGTGTTATATATGCTGGAATTAAAACAAGTATTTTAGAAAATGGTGGTAGTTGAGAAATTATGATCTTTTAAAGCTTATTTTTAAAATATAACTAATTTTCATATTTAACAGAAGGGTATGTAAATAAACAAAAGACGGCTTGACAACTGTCCACATAAACTATATGGAAGACAATAACCTTAATCCTATTTATATTGGTCAGTCAGTCAGTCAGTAACAACGTAGAACTTCGTACGTACGTACATCAGTTCGAGTTGCCACACCACATTAGCACAGAGATGCAGTTGTCGATTCAAATCCCGTAGTGGTAGAGGTAGTAAGAGTATAAGCAGTAATCGGGAAGATTAGGGTTTGGAGATGTTATTTAAAGAGTATAATCCAGTGAAATAAATTTGTAAAGAGGAAAAAAGGGACATGAAGAATTCAGAAGATTAGAATTTGGGAGAACACAGAGAGTGGATGCACCTGTGCCATTGCAAACGATTTTGAGCCATGTCATTCATGGTCTCTAACCATCGGTTGCTATCATCTCGTGGTCCCCAACCAGGTAGTCTACACCTACCAACATGGCTCAGTCCACTTGTCAGTGACTTCATAGACTTGTGCCATGTTTTGGTTTGGCCGCCCCAACAGGTCTTTATTTATACAAATAAACATTGGTACGAGGAGGCACCAAATATATATGCACCATATAAAGCATTCGATTTGTGAGAGGGATAGAATACTGTCTAGGTGCCCAAACCGAAGCAGGTGAGCCACACCCGGGGCCTTCGACCTAAAGGTCTAATCCATAAGGCAGTGGAGCAACGTCAGGATATGCAGTCAAATGGTAGCCGGTGATCAACGATTGGTTCATACACTATTTGTTCCCTCAGGATCGTGGAGACCATATGTACCATTGGTTTGGAATCAGGGTTTTTCAACTCCCGCGAGTGGATCCCCCATATTCACCGAACTGGTTAAAGCGCCGGATAGTCGCTTTTCGTCCTCTTAATTTCGTAAACAACAGTAATGCGGCGAGGGAGTGAGTAGGACTTGTGTGGAAGTAGTTGTATGCATGTAGCCATGTGAGAGCATTTCTAGAGGGAGAGCTTACTCTCCCCACTCTCCGCTGTACCAGCGCACTTGGGGGTACGACTTATATTATGCTGAACTAGGATAAAATATTTTTTTACGTCACACACTTAGTTGCCGGATGAAGAATCGTCATATATCTATGATTTTTTTGGCAAAGCGATTTCAAATTAAGATACCTACTGAGATACACCAAATGCATTATACAATCTGCAATAAATAATGCCTTCTTTACAGACTATAGTAGGTACAGTGTTCTCGATGTCGTAATTATGATGTACATCAGTGCAACCGAACGTAGCTTGAATAGGAACCATTACATTCAACCCAACAAAAGCTAGAGATATCATATATTTTTGAAGTAACTAACTGGAAGGATTCAGAACTGAGTGCAATTTTCATTTGATCATCCTCCAGCTTTTGTAAATTGTATTATCAACTAAATAGTATTTGCAGCAAACTGTCCAGCCAGACCGAGGTAAGAGCAAACGTTAGGTACGTTGAAAAATATTCTAGGACTTACTAGTCGTACATCAAATAAAGGAGATTGTTCTATGAAATTTTATGAAGACCACACCATGATCTGAACTAACAACAATTCAGCCACTACTAATGTTTCATCCTATTTAACAACTGAGACCTGAATTCAAGCAAAACATAGTGAATTCATCAATAAGTACCGATGCAAGCAGAAAGTGTACTAGTAACCCTAACATTCAGTAGTACGCAAGGTCATTGTTCTTGAGTCTATATTAATAAGAACAATCCTGATAGAGAACCAGGGTACAATCGAAACTAATCACTAGTTAAGCAGATGGCATATACGGTTGTTTATTGCAATAACAAGACGTAAAGTGAACAATAAATTCACTCGTTTTCGGTGAATACAATGGTGGTAAAAGGCAGGATTTGTGAGACCCAAAGACCTGTTTAGTCCTTTGGAGCAGAAGTTTTCAAATGACCATCGTCGTCTAATACATGACTTGACGCTTGGAAGAGTGATTATAGATTTTGAAACAGTGTAGAAAGGTGTTCAGTATGGTATGGCCTTTTAGGGTTGTTTCACTGACATTAAAATGTGATATAAGTTGCACAGAAATCATGAGGCTATTCGCCAAGGAAAAGTTGAGGGGCAATATGTTAACGAGAATATTAGTTGTGAACAAAGAATGCGTTCTCTATGAAAATAACTAACTTTCTGAATAAGTTATTTTCAACTTTGCTAAATTCCAAACAGTAAAATCGACCCCAGGGACGTAGTACTCGATAGGCTTCTGAAACAACCTAAAAAAATTCTGAAACGAATATAAATAATTCTACCTTTTCAATATGTGTGCAATTGCGTATTCCAAAAGCAATAGTATAAACGTCAAACGAATTATCATTAAACGGGAGGTTTTCAGCATTTCCTTCTATCCACTGAACTTGCAAAAGAATGATGATATAAATGTCAGAATAATGAGCATACTGGAAGAAAACCCCAATTCTTCCGCCCGTGATTTCCCTACTTCCATCATGGATGGACTAATATCACAAACTGTGACGTCGAGACCAGTGAGGGGTTTCACATTCGGAAATTCCGGCACTCCATTAATATGCTTAGCATACTTAAATAACCTAAAGGCAATATCACCTATGAAGATTGAGGCCATATATAGGCATAAGTAAATAAAACTAACCTGTTCCACCTGCAACGTCTAAGTACTTTAGTTTATCTGTTGGCATAATTCGGCTTACAAAACAATCTTTCCATAAACGGTGAACACCAAAACTCATTATATCATTCATCAAATCATATTTCTTGGATACATTCTCAAACACATGATTTACTAGTTAAGAATGAAAAAACATGGTAAAAGTTATAGGTTTATTAAAACTCACCTTTCGATTGCTTATCCTTGGTTGCTACTGTTTCAAACCCAAAGTGTGTGGTTGACAGAAAGCTCTTCTGTGCACTCAGCAATCGAAACTTACAAAAAGCATTTTGGATGTAGCATGAAAGAACGCTCATCTTCTGAGACGTACTGCAATAAATAGTACAGAAGAGTTGTGCATAAATTAAGACAGATCTGACAGAGTTATTACGACACAGGATGATGTAGAACAGCTTAGCAGTTTAAGCTGCCATTCGACTTAACAGTTTATGGCCTCAATTCAGAGGCTAATCCGCTAACTAGTATTACGATCCTTCTGAACTATCCAGAGTATTACTAATTAATCATCTGGGAATTCTCATTTTACGTTGAGCAACATTTCAGATGAAACACAATCACTGATAACTACCAAATGGACTAAACTAATGACCCACACCACCAACAATATTGCTCACGTCACAAAAAACATAAACGGTCAGTACTGTAAGTACTTACTTCAGCCTGTTAATCTTCTTGGGACATAGGGTGTCAATTAGGAATCATCGGCTGGGCTTTCCCTGATAGTTATCGCCAAGTTCTATTCATCCTTTTGATGTCGCCCTCAACGTCCGAGTCTAGGCACGTGAGCAGTGCGTTAGCGGCCGAGTAAGTCACGTGTCCGATTAGGTGCTTAAGATTTGACAGCCTGTATGCTGTACTGCAACATATATCGTCTGCTGTTTCAGACTTGATTGCCAACATTAGGCAGCTAGTGTTGAAGTCTGGTGGACGTGAATATCTGCGGCAATTCGATATCAGAATACCAAGTTTGCAGGTCTCTTTGTCATCTAAAGAGGAACTGCGTACGTTGGATGCACGTCTCTAGAAAGGAGACATAAGCGTCAAATTTGTAGGTCAAAATTCATTGGATTATTTGTTTGTATTGCAGATGAACATGCTGACGTGGCTAATGGATGATAATCCTAAAACGTCTATGCGCTACATTTTGTCATACGTCAGGACACCTGGAGTTGCCAGTCGTTTTAATCTACATGGAGCTTAATTTAAAAGTTTCTTTGTATATGTACCATTTCTAACGTCGATTGCAGTAGACGATTTGGCGTGTACCCAACCTCCCAATTATAGGGAAAATCTGAATCATTTCGAAGAAATTTTGGGTAACATGTCACCTGAACCCCAAAATTTCCGCAAACTTGGGAGATTAGATATTTAGGCAAAAAGTAGACAATTCGAGGTCGTTTGAAACAAAGAGCAATAAAAATTAGAAAATCCGCATTACATTTCTTTGACAGATGAAAAGAAGACATTCTGGAGCGTTCTCTCATTATTTCCCCTTTCTTTTTCAACGCAATGCGTTGAAATATTTCTCCTTTGTTGGTTGTATATCCTAACGATATATGGTATAAAACGAAAATTCAGAAAAACAAAACAAAAAAATTTTTTGGAACACTTGACAATTAATAATGCACAGATTTTAGGAAACTAAAACAGAACCCCTAGAAAAACTCAAGTAACTCATATAATTACCGCCAGTGTAACGGCTAGTACATTATTTAGCGCTTACCTTTCAATGCCTAATGTTATAGGTCATTGTATTAAGCTTGTATAGACCAGATGATTTCTTTGTTCTCCCACCTCATTGTTACAGTAAAATCTCAGATATCTGGCGTATTCCAATGGAGGTGGCCTATCCACTTTACTGCTTCAGTCCTAGTGAGTTTGATGGTTATTTTTGGGTCAATACATCACCTCTCACTCAACTACCCAAATCCTCGAACTCCAACAGATCACTAGCAGCGGCGCAAACGCAAGCTCCTGGAAGCCTTGAAGAAATTTTGTTCGAATTCTAAGGACCAGTGTACATGTGATACTGACGTACATTGACTGTCAACCTATTATGTTTGTGTATTTATGGCATCAGAAGCATATTTGATCAACTTTAATTTAAACTATTTCGGTTAACGTCAGGAAATTTCTTTAATTCCGTTTTGTGAAACGTTTTTGGTTGATCCACGTGCTGGTGATTGTCTTGTGCACTGTCGTCGGGTTTTCCATTTCAAATATGTTTACTATGGTCAGCTTTGCTTATAAATGTGGACAGCCAAGTCGTTTATTTCCTTGTGTTGGAAAGAATCCATTGTGATAAATGTAAGCAGTTCCACAAGTTGTAACCCGACAAAATCCCACTGCATACGAAAGATACTCGAAGTCTAACTTCCACTGACTTCTTAAGTTTTGCTGCCCGGGTAAGACATTGCCGATCCAAGAGGCGGAGGGCTTTTTGGAGTTTGGCAATAAGAACTTGATGGTGATTGCAGCGGTATCATGAGTACTGTTGGTGAACAACATTTCAGTGTATTAAGAGTGTTACAGGACGAGCCAAACATCCTCCTGCTCAATATGGAAAAGACCTTTCAGACAAACGAGTTGTGGAATATCACTGGGTATTAGTACCTTAAGTCACGGATAAAACTGTAGCCGTTCCAACTACTCTCACTTTAGCTGTTCCGTGTGACATGGAGTGCATGAGAGTGCAGAAACAAAGAAGATAAAAATAGTCACAAACAGCACCCATTTGGCCAATACGTCCTTGGCAGATCTCCATCCTGAGTCATATAACACTCCACCATAAACCAAAAGCAAGACTGGATTCCAACTTTACGTAGCTGAAAAAGTTTGATCTCTTAAAACATTGTTCGAGCGATTTACAAGAATCTGTTGACTGTGACCCAAAAGTTAGATACACGTATGATTTTAAAAAATTCGAAGCATTTGTTCGAAGTATTTTTCCATGTGACTCTACAAATGTTCAGATAAAAAACTGGCCAGAATAGATAGGAGGGCTGAAGAAAATTCTGATCCCCGATCACATAGACTTTCTTAAATAACCTTAGAGTCGGAGGAACAAAGGAATATTGTGCTAATTATTGCTCGAGGTCAAAATGACACTGACAAAGGAATGACATGTCCATAGAAGATAGAATAAGAGAGGAGGCGGAACTAACTGAACTAGAAACTCGACTAAATTGGTGAAGAAAACCTCTGCTCAGTGAGTTTGGAAGGACATCAAATTAGCTAGTGGATTTGCTTGAATTCTTTAACCAGGAGGGACGGGTGAGGACAGTGTTTGATTACAGTTTTACGGGATAAGTGATTTTATATTTCACATATGGCCTAAGGTAACTGGCTCTAGATGCTTCAACAGACGTGCCACCAGAGGCCGTTTCCTAAAATAATCTCGTACAGGCTGACTGTGAAGCGCACTGTTATTTATAAAATAGCGTTGACTGTCAAGCTCATAGCTGAGGTTATAGATATTTGCATTAGTGTGAGCCTGGAAAGTAGCAGATGTACGCGATTGGAAGCAGTTGTAATCGTTTTTGTACGTAGAAACCATTTTCACGCAGTAGTTATTTCGCTAGAATCAAACGACCGTGATCTAAGAAATAAACACTTGTAGAATTATGGTCTACTATGATATTAGTACTGCGCTAATAATAGACCTAATCCTAAAATTGTAGACTTATCATGATATAACTGCCTAATCTATAAGATCTTACGTAGAAGTCATCCCATCGTCTACACCAACTCATCTTATCGTAAAAATCACTAATACACGATGTAGAACGAGCTTAGAATAGAGATAGAACATAATAATCTGAATAAAAGATATAAGGTAACATTCAGTAGGGACCACGCCTGCATGGCCGAGCCATGCCGTTCGATCAACTCCAGTTCATTCAACACATTCTTTCCGCCTTCTCTGTCGTTGGGTATATTTCCGCGTTAAATATTGAATATCTATTTTCCGAGTTGTCTCGTGTTCAGCTTTGAGGATTGTGTGGTTATGTTCCAATGCCACTACACTACTCTCCCACCAGAATCAACGTGGTGTTGGTTCGAAACCAAATTGGATGGGATTGTCGTGCGCCGGAGGTTACCAATAGTAGTAAGAATCCTCCGGGTATTGGTAAGCTGAAAGATAAATCAAAAAGGCGGCAGCATCTGGTTGGGAAATACATGTAATAATTTTAAAATATCTGCCTTCATGCTTAACACGCTTAAAATGAAAACTTGAGTGAAGATTATTTGAGCCATGAAAAATGGGATTACAATAATAATAATAATAATAATAATAAAACAATGCGTGTTAATAGCCGTTGGTGAATAACTTAACGTATAGGTAGTAAGTATTTTGTGTTTAGAAATAATAAAAGCAATCAATATTGTAGAAATGTTAATATTGGTATTAGTTTTGGTTTAAATTATGAAATCAAATTACAATTATACCGGTATGTTGTCCATATGTGTTGATTTCAATTGCATCTGTATTAGTAGGCTAACTGAAGGAACAAAAGTATTACCGTGGAGAAGAATTCCAACTAGTGTTCCAGTTAGTTTGATTCGGTTTATTTAGTTACGAGGAGATCTTCTCAACCTCATTTTTACGTGACCGTGATAGAATTTAGTAATACTACTAATGCATATGAGTTGTTATCAAAACAAAATTTAATTAGGTAAGTGATAGTTATATGAGTTTTGGATAGATAGCTAAGAACAAATCGTTAAACATGATTGTAGTCGTAAGAGACATGCTCTAGACACAATGTTCTGATCTGCGATAGACTATTTATTTATATTTATACTTGCCGGCTGATGGTGCATACAAGTTAGTTGCAAGTATGCAGTTTATCATACGGCGGAACACGATTTAATTGAGATATAGTTATTTGGGAAACATCGGATCGCTTATTCGTAGCATTTCGCCAGATAGCTCTACAAGAGTTCGGGTCAAATATTGATTAGAATAGATAAGACGACCAACAGAAATGTTGAACCACGACCTCATAGACTCCATAAGGTAATCCTAGGGATGAAGAAACAACGAGATATTTTGTTGACTATCTCTCGTAGTCACGACAATACCGACATTCGACTGAGACCCGATATAACTGTATGAGAGAATTAAAGGGAAAGCGACACTAGGTGAACTAGAAACTCATTGACAGAATGGTGAGGAAAACCTACGTCTAGTAAGTTTCCGAGTAGTCACGTCTTTGAAGCGAATGTTATCCAGGCCTGTATAGATAGTTCCTTCTCCTCAGGTGTTTTATATACAAATGCTCATAGCCTTGGAAACAAATTCTATGCACTTAGAGCATTAGTGGATGAATTGGAGTTATTCGTGGTAGCTGTGACTGAAACGTGGTTAGTCTAAGACGTCGAAGTCACTCTAGAATTATCGGGACGCAACTTCTTAAGAAGTGATAGGAATAGACCCAGGAAAGTTAGTGGTGTCTTAATATATTTATAACTATCCGTTCTTTTGATTGTGAATCCTATGATAGTAGAACTTGTGAAGTAATTAACCGTGATCTCACTCTTGAACGTTGGACATCCAAACTCATTGTCATCTATCATAGCCCAGTCTACTTAGCTGATGACCTTATCTTTGAGCACATTCAGCTATGGAATGAAAATAACAGTTACCTGACGTTAGATTTCAATGTACTTGACACCAGATGGACAGGAATAGCCACTGTAGGATCTGAAAACGGGATTAGGGTATGTTCATCTCTACAGGTTCAGGACAATACAAATGCACGTATTGTTAGACTGGAAGCGCCTGTAAAGCGCTGATAAGAAAGACTAGACTTCCACATGAAAACTTTGAGTGAAGATTGTGAAAACAGTTCTAAAACGTTGTCCTCGTATGCAGAGGTAAACCAAGAGAAGTGATGGAATCCCACCTTTTTCTGATACGTTGCTACTTCAAAGAAATGATGTCGTGAAGGCTGGAGCTTTATCAGAATATTTACTTAGTGCTTTCTACCAATTATAGTGAAACACCAACAATTAATATGTGGAGTAGTGCTACTCAAAGTGATAAACTATGAAGATCTAGGAGTCATAGTAAGCAACGGCCTCAAAACCATGAGTAACTGCAAGGCTGCTTCAACCAAGGGCTTCAGGATCTTATAAACTATTCTTAAGTCTTTTTAGTATTCAGACGAAGTAATATTTAGGGTGTTGTATCTGACTTTCATTAAACCGCATCTAGAATATGGGATGCTTGTTTCATGTATGAAGTTGATATGCTAGAACGAGTCCAAGGATGAGGGATCAAAATGGCAAAGGGTGTCTCCGACCTAGTTGATTGATTGAAAAACCCCAACCTATTTTCGTAGATTACGGGGCGATATAATATTAGTATTGTTATTATTACTATTAATGGCTTTATTCGATAGTATATTTTGATACAATATACAATTCGTATGCCGAATGATGATTTTGGTACTAATATATCTTATTTTTCTTTCCATCTAGAACTGATAACCTGAGAGAATACTCAAAGGAAGTTCAAAATCCGTCCTCAGTTTCAAGTTTGATTGCATTTTCAGCCTTCACCGAGACGTCAGCTCACGTTTTTCCTTGTTATTTTCTCTCCCAAATTTTCACATACTGCTCCACACGTCCCTCTGGCACACAAGGTATCTTCAGGCTAGATGAAAACCTTTCAGGGGCTCGATGTTGCAACAGCGTGAAATGGTCCAATAGATCGTATACTGCCTTACATTTCGAGTATACGTGCATTTGTATCCACTCAATAA